CCCTGTATAAAAATAACAAAAAATATCAACTCAGATTCGACATCTACGGTGAAAATTGTATAGGAATTTGTTGAAAAATCTCCTGGCACCATCGTAGTTATTCCGTAATTATTAATAATTATTTTAATTTTTTTCATTCAAAATTCAAATATTGTCGGATAAAGTACTACCAAATTTGGTAATATAATAAATATCAACGAAACCATGACATGAATATCGTTATTTTCTTCAATCAGTCCGTAAATCATAGTAAAATTAAATACTCTCATAACCCAAAAAAACTGGAAAATAAATTCGTATCAGGACTGGAATGCGGTTTTCTATGATTATATTCCTGTAAGAATAGATGATCTAGTATAACAATGATCTGATCGCAGATTCGAAATGCACTGAGAAAAGTTAAAAACTTGTTGAAAAATGATCGGACTGAACTTTCAAATAATAAATCCGCTCAGTACCTTATAAGAATTTCATTATGGAAAACCATTGTTCAGCTGTCATCAGCGTTTGTTTTATTAGTGTTCATTCATTATTTTAGTGTTTTTTGGATCAAACTATAGTTCTGAGAGTGTGCTTATGATGCCGTTTCATTTCACTTATGAGGAATACGCCGATATTCTATTTGTGTTTGGTCTTTAACTGGTGATGTTTACCTACATTTCCTGGTGAATACTTGACCGGATCTATTGTAAGGTGTAAATACCTGGGGTATGTGGTTTCAGCATGATGGTGCTAGACCTCACTTTTCAGTTCCAGTTAGAAACCATCTCGATGCCAATTACCCCAATAGATGGATTGGCCGTGGAGGTTCATTGAATTGGCCACCGCTATCCCCTGATCTAACTCAGCTAGATTATTTTTTATGAGGTCATTTAAAGTAACGATGTGTTAGTGTTAGAAATAACCTTCAAATAATTCGCAAGTCAGTGAATCATCTAATAGCACGCTCTCAAAAATGTACTGATGTTGGAGGACTCCACTTCGAAAATGTTTTGTAATACTTAGTAGTGAAAGTTTGTCACAAATTCATTGGATTTGTTATGCTCATTACAAACAGTTATTGTTCGTTGTGTAGTATTTTCATAAATTCAAAATTCATTAGTGAGCGAATATAATTTACGAAAACTTCACTCTTATCCTTCTTTAACAGGTTCTTATACTATTTTTTTAGATTCCGAATCTACGATCAGATTATTGATAACTATTGATGTACTAGGTCAGCTAACATAAACAAACAAAAAACTCATTCCAGTCCTGATACGAATTTATTCTTCAGTTTTTTCGGGTTATGAGAATATTTTATTTTACTCCGATTTATGAACGAAGAAAATAACGACATTCATGTCATGGTTTCGTAAATATTTATTATATTACCAATTTTGATGGTATTTTATCCGACAATGATTGATTTTTCAATGAAAAAAATTAAATTAATAATCAATTACGGAATAACTAAGATGGTGCCAGGAGATTTTTCAACAAATTCCTATACAATTTTCACCGTAGATTTCGAATCTGAGTTGAAAGTTTTGGTTATTATTATACAGGGTGAGTTATTCTAACAATAACTCAACATAGGGGAAAAATATTATTCCGGTCCTGATATTGGGTAATTCATTCAGTGTAATTCGTGTTCCAAATTTGAATCTAATCGGTTAATTCCTGTGTTTGATATGGCGAATTGAATTTTTTGTCAAAATCCACAAATCACTCTGTATCTCAGAAACAAAGCCGTTTTGGACATTCGTTTATGGCATTTTGGAAGCATATTGACAGTCTCTATATCCCCATGAGTTTTGTCGGTTTTATCTCTGGACACCCTGTATAAGCCCGAAACATGGTCGTTTATGATTGATCTTTGAGCATTCTAATAAATGTTGTGGAGATGACTTTATGTTCTCATCTATGGACCCTGTATCTTTTTCAGACCCTGAAATCAACGTCGTGAGGCCTTCTAATTTGATATACAGGGTCCTTGAGGGATGCTTCGGTGCGGTGTTAAGGCACAGCTTTCTAGCTTTGAGAGAAAAAAGTTTCAATTTTTGATCTGCTTTACGTTTCTTGTGGTACCTCTGATAAAAAATGGCTCGATCTTATTATAGACCGAAACCATGAGAATCACTGAATTTTCGGTGGAACTGAATTGATTCCCGTACTTTGCTATAGCGAAAAGAAAATCCTAACCATCATTTCAGCGATTTTTCAGTTTTATTTTTTATTCTTGATAGCGATTATTTCGAGAACCAATGTAGATGAAAACGAATTGACTTCAAATTATTGTTTTCAGTTTCTCCCCCTTGTTTCTGTTTCGGACCCTGAAATCAACTTTGTTGTGTTGTTGAGCCTTCAAATTTGATATACAGGGTCCTTACAGGATGCCCTTTTGTGGAGTAACAGCACAGCTTTCTAGCTTCGAAAGAAAGAATTGCAATTTTTCACCTGCTTTTCATTTCTTGCGGTACAGGGTGATTCACCATAAATGCAACCCACCCCCCCTCCCCCCGTCTAGCTCACTCATTTTTATACCGACCTCAAAATATGAAAAATCATCGGTAATGATTTTCCCAGTTTTTTTTCCGCTACATCAGAAAATATAGGGAGCTCGGAACAAACGATCTACAGGGTATTACTAGTTGATTTTTTCATATGGGACACTCTGTATTTTATTGCATTTTCAGTGTTCGAAATCGAGATTTTTAAACTTTTGGATTTTTTTGTGTCGAAACTATAGATTATTGGTCAAAACGACGACTCACATGAAAGCCGTATTCATTACCAAAAAATAAAATAAAAAAATCAGCAGGTCTGGATGATGTTCCAGCATTCTTGCAAAGGGTATCATTAATACAATCATAAGACCATTGACACCCTAAGGAAAATAGTACCTTTGACGAAAAATGGATCGATCTAGTACCTCAACTGAATGGAGATCGTTGTCACGAAAATCACTGAAGTTTTGATTCACGTATTTCGCTCACAAACTAAAAATTCTCAGCGATTATTCAGATTTTTTTCAATTCTTGATTGCGAATATCTCGAGGAAAAATGGAAATAAAAACGAACGGACTTCGAATTCTTGTACACACCCTGTATGCGAATTTTCAACCCATTCTGATGCCTCGAGTTGGACGAAAAAAGTTCAAAGGGTAACTTTGTTCCTTTTTCACACCCTGACATCAACTTGATCGAAGGGCCTTCAAATTTGTGATAAAGGGTCCTTGAGGGATGCCCTAGGGCGGAGTAGAGGCACAGCTCTCTAGCTTCAATAGGAAAAAAGTTGCAATTTGACCTGATTTTCTTTCCATGCGGTACTTTTTATAAAAAATGGCTCGATATAGCACCTCAACTCATTACAGACCGTAACCATGAGAATCAATGAATTTTCGGTGAAACTGAATTGATCCACGTATTTTGGTCACGAAAAAAAATTCCTGAGCATTCAAGCGAATGTCATTTTTTTTTAAATTTTTGATGGTGATTATGTCGGGAACCAATGGAGATAAAAACAAACGGACTTCAGATTCTTGTTCAGCACATCGAGAACACCCTGTATGCAAATTGTCATCCCATTCTGACGCCTCGAGTTGGATGAAAAAAGTTCAAAGGGTAACTTATTAGAGACCAAAACCATGAGAATAACTGAATTTTCGGTGGAATTGAATTGGCCCGTATTTTGCTCACGAAAAAAAAACCTAAAAATCAATTGAGCGATTTTTCAGTTTTTTTTTATACTTCATAGCGATTATATCGAGAACCAATGGAGATGAAAACGAATTGACTTCAGATTCTTGTTTTCAATTTTCTCCCTTTGTTTTATTTTTCAGACGCTGAAATCAACTTTGTTGCTGAGCCTTCAAATTTGATATACAGGGTCCTTACGGGATGCCCTATTGCGGAGTAACAGCACAGCTTTCTAGCTTTGAGAGGAAGAAAGTTGCAATTTTTGACATGCTTTTCTTTCCTTGCGGTACAGGGTACTTCACCATGCCCCCCCCCTCTAGCTCTCTCATTTTTACACCGATTTCAAAATATGAAAAATTATCTGTAATGATAGGTACAAGGGTACATTTATGAAATAAAATATCAGATTTTTCAACATCGTATAGAAAAACTGAAATCGTCGTCAAATGAGGTTATATAACAACAAGAGTATTCTTTATTTCATCTGAAGCCACAAAATTTCAGAAACATCGAAAGAAGTATTGTGTTTCTTGGAAACTTTGAAATCCTGTGGGTATCTTGAAAACCACTGTTCTATTTCTATTCTATTTACGCACTTTTTTAAAGGAATCTACCCTTGCTTTTCATTTCAATATTAATATTAAATGATTGGTATAATCATCAGATTCTTGAAATTTCTCCAATAATCAGGTTCCTATTCTTTGATTGTGAGTTTCCTTATCATTTATAGTTTTCAACATCAGTTGAATAAGTGAAGAAAACAACATGAATTTCAACTAATTTCCTCACAAACCCTATTATATTAGTTGATAACATTTGAGATATTCAGGAAAAACCGATCTTTTTTAAAAGTTTTTCAACACACTGTATGTTGAAAACGCATTTCCGGACCCACCTACATATTATGATTGCATTTTTTATTTCATCATGTAGAATCACCTCCTCGTTTTTGGGGAAAATTTCCGGGCACCCTGTATAGTATACATATAAAACACCGGCCACTTAAAATTTCTTCGACCCGGTATAAGCTCAGATAAGAATTTGAATAAGAATTTCCATAACAGAAGAGTTAAAGGAAAATTCTACAAAACAGATGAACGATTCGGGATAAGACCAACTCTAAAAATTTAGGGTTAACTCATTTTAGTGACCTTTTTTTTTAATGGCACTGTATGAAATAAAAAGGATTTCAGCTTCTTTCTATACTTCATTAAAATAGTGTAATCTAACAAGTCACATACAGTATATTTCAATAGACGATTTGGTTAAAAAGTATCTTGTTTATCGAAACTGTCATGCATATGTACACTCGGTATCAGTTTTTTTGACAGTGACAAAACACACTGGTTTCAGAAAATGAGCGTAATTTCAATTTCAGAACCGAGTGAGAAATTCTTCGTTGCAGGAATAATTACGTGTAAAGAATTTCAAAAATGTCGATACATAGTTACCAAATTGAACAAATGTTTCCCAAAACTATACGAAGAACCTCAAATAAGGCCAATGTTGAACATGGAATGGGAGGAATTTTTAACGAATGTAAGTTTTCACGATTTCCAATGAATACCAGATTAATCAAACTATAGGGTTCATTATGTACCTCGCAAAAGATATTCGAAAACAAAACTCATATTTTGATGTACATACAAACGATAACAAGAAAGTCTATCTATCGTCCTTTGTAACTGAAGTACAAGTTACGTTGAATTCGTATAGTCTATTCACACTCGGTAGATATAATTCACTTGGATTCCACATCAAAGAAACATAGAAATCGGAATCAGAACTCAGATCCGTCTTTAAGAAAAACAGGCAATTTCTTTTATTTCAATAACAACCCCCTGATTGTAAAAATTTGTGGATCTGTTTTGATAATGGAAGATTGCATCATTTTCAGTAGAAGAAAATTGCAAAAATATTTTTCTGGTGTTGAGTGGATTAGATACTATTCAGATCTCATTTCGAAGCTGAACAGATATAGTTATTCCACGCATAAAGAGAAAACAAAAATTTTTGTAATCTTCTACTACTGAAGAAGATGAAAAATTACTATGCAAACTTCCATTTTGGGTCAAATATCTCGATAACTGTTCATTTTAGCTCAGTTGAAGATGATGCAGTTTCTCAACATAATTGAACAATCAATTCGAGAAATTGGAAATAATCAAAATTTCATCAGTGGCGTAGAAAATTTGGGAGAAAAAGTTATCACAACCCTCTTTCGCACACATTTAAGCAAAATTCTCGAAATGTCTTTCTAGTCAAAAATTAACCATTGAAAGATGAAACCATATACCGAATTTGAATGCATTATTTCAAATTTTCTTGAGATATTGCGAAAAACCTATTCAAATTTCTTAACCTCAACGCCCTGTATCTCGAGAACTAAACACTTGAAGACCGTATGTCCGTGATTATGAATTCACGAGGGCTATCACCTGTCAAGCGTTGTCAATCGAATTTCGCAACACCCTGTATAGTGATAAGTACGTACTTGATTTTCAGAAAAGAAGAAAATATGGCAACGGTCTGTGGGCCGTGAAGAAACCAGTGGTGATTTTTTCAAACGGTGAATATCTGGGAGACGACACAACCCTTATAAAACACGTTTCGAAAAAATTTCGATTCGCTCTCAACATGGACTGGTACGAAATGGGAAAATGTCACTTGGTGGAATTCCTCAAGAACATCATGCGAAAATTCGTACGGAAAACCAATACAGACTAATATGGTTGGAATACACAAATTCAAATCGATATTTTCAGCGCCAATTGGCATACATCACGGTATCCATCAACCGCAGAGTAGTTGGGACCATGATGTTCGAGGTAATTAGAGTTCATATACCTACAGGGTGTGCCAAAATTATATGGCAACGGAAAATAAAACCTGCGACATTTTTGAGTTCATCAAAATTATTCGAAAAGATTCAGATTCTATAGGAGTAGCAAGTGTTCGACGTGAACACACTGTAGAAGAATAAATGAGTACAGTGTCATGAAGAATGGGATCTCATAGTGGAAATCTCATGGAAAATCTGTGAACTACAGATAGTAAACACACTCAAATATTAAGAATTAGCTCAACATGCCTGATAAGGATGTTGCAGGGTATTCTTAGGGAAGACTTATTCTCAATAACTTCAGAAGAAATATTCCAATAATACAGGGTATGTCACGACGAGGTTACATTATCTTTATATCAAGAATCGTTCGGGAGATATCCATAAAAATGTGCATTCTTATATTTCAGAGTACGCTCTTCTCATTAAAAATATTTCCGACTATGCAGTATTGCCGCTTCTAATATACCTTTTCAACTTCAATTTCGGAATCGGTAAGTTATATTTCGTTAAATGTAATCTTGATTTCAGAATTGGTTAGTTCAATTTCAGAAATGGTAAACTCAATTTCAGAATCGGTGAGATGAATTTCAGAAAAAGTCCATTCAATTCCAGAAATGGTAAGTTGTATTCCAGAATTGGTAGGTTCAATATCATAAAAAAAATCCTTATATTTGTTCGAAATGTTTCCAATTGCATGTGAGATTAACAAACCATATTTAATATATTCAACTTTTCAAAAACAATTTAATCCACAGATGCCTTCCATCTGAATCGCTGGAAGATAGTGGCGTTGCACATGATTATAAGAATACAAACACATTTGAGATGTTATCATTTTCATTGAATGATCTGCACATTCTTCAAGACATCGCAGTCTGAATTCTATATGGTTGAGCAATCTGTTCGGATCTCCAGCTATGACCCTTCGGCGATGCTCTTGCAAGAAGCTCTTCACTTCTGAGACACCCCATATATTTTCAATCTGATTCAACATAGGGCTCTCAAACACCGTTCCATCCACTGTAAACAAACTTCTCTTCTGCAATTAAAAGCATTTCAAACATATAGAAGGATTTCATCTTCTGAAATTGAACCTACCAATAATAATTCTGAAATACAACTTACCATTTCTGAAATTGAATGGACTTTTTCTGAAATTCATCTCACCGATTCTGAAATTGAGTTTACCATTTCTGAAATCGAACTAACCAATTCTGAAATCGAGATTACTTTTTCCGAAATATAACTCACCGATTCCGAAATTGAAGTTGAAAAGGTATAGAAAGAAGTAGCAACATTGATATTTCAAATGGATCACCCTGTATTTTATCGCATTTTTAGATTCCCCTTGAAGAGTTAATTTTATCGATACGTCACACGTGGGGTATATCGAAAAAGATTGCAGAGATATAGTGTTCAAATCTCTCCCTATATCTCTGTTAACATTTCCGATAGACCCCAAGTTTGATGTATCGATGTAATCAGCTCTTCAGGAAGAATCTGAAAATGTAATGAAATACAGTGTATTTTACTTGAAATAACAAAGTTGTTGCTACTTTTTGATAGAAGCGGCAACACTGCATTGCTGGAATTATTTTAAATGGAAAGAGCGTATATAAAATATTAGCATGCATATTTTCATGTATTTCTCCCGACTGATTCTCGATATAGAGATAGTGTAAGCTCGTCGTGACATACCCTGTATATTAGTAGACATATTTTTTGTTCTAGAAATATTGTTCGAAAATCTATAATATAAAGTGCTGAGAAACTTTTTCGAATAACTCATATCTCATCCTCTAACCCTACTATTCACCACTTCATAGTATTTTTTTTTAATTTGCCGCCATAAGTTCAATATTGTTAAGTTTTTCGTGTTTTATGCATGACATGATTTATTTATAGGTGTTAGATGTGAGAATAATTCAATAGCCAATGACATTTTTTCGATATAATTCATGGCGAACAACATTAAAAAAAAAACAATGATTCAAATAATCAAAATAAATATTCCAATGATAAAAATAAAATGAGTCACACTGAACTATATTGCTGCAAACTTTTCAGCTCTACAATGATCTTGTGCCGCTAGCCTGTGAAAATTTTCTAACAAAATGCAAACTCGAAACCGGTGGATATACAGGATCGCCCATACAAAGGTACAAAACTGATTATTTTTTTCATCTTCTTGTACACTTCATGTATCGCTCCAAGCTTCCATTTTATGGCTTGCCTCCCCAGTTATGTTCTCTGCTAGCTAGTTTTCTCTCAAACAGGTCTCTCCATGTAGTTGTCGACGGAGTTTCATCTGACTCTCTTATCATAAATGCTGGTGTTCCGCAAAGATCAATTCTAGCACCACCACTATTTCTACTCCATATCAACGATTTGTTGGAAGCAACTTCATGTCCAGTACACAGCTTCGCGGATGATAGTACCCTCCATACCGCCTTCTCTTCCAGGGCTCCAATACCAGCCAGGCAAATCAGAAACGAACGAGGGATAAATGTTGACAACATAAATATGGACTTGGCAACAATTCTCGAATGGGGATCCAATAACTTGGTAGATTACAATGCAAACAAAACACAAGCATGCCTCTTCTCTAGAAAAGCCGATCTCACTGTGCCCAACATGAGCTTGCCAGGAGTAACCATACCTTTGGATACATCCATTTCGATGCTTGGTATTACTACCAGCAATAACCTTTCTTGGAAAAATCACGTGAGATCAATTGCTAAAAGTGCATCCCAAAAACTTGCTTTTCAGTTTCGGGTCAGGAGCTATTTCACTTCCAGTCAGCGGCTTATGATCTATAAAGCACAGATCCGACCTGTCCTGGAATACTGTTCCCATATTTGGAGTGCAGCTCCCAAACATACCCTGAAACTGTTGGATTCTGTCTAAAAAAGGGCAATTCGTCTCGTGGGTGATGCCTCGCTCACAAACTCACTCACTTCTCTGGAACACCGTAGAAAAGTTGACGATCTGGCTCTATTTTATAGATATTTCCATGGACGATGCTCTTCTGAAATGTCAACAATTGTTCCTGCCTTGGCAGTCCCCGCGAGATTAACCCGTCGAGTTGAGGCTTCGCACCCCTTCGTGGTCACTTTGGAGACCTGCAGAACATCTCTTTCCAAAGACTCGTTCATCCAACGAACAGCGATGCTCTGGAACACATTGCCAAGGGAGGTGTTCTCCCAGGCATATAACCTCCAGAAATTCAAGAAGAACACCAATTCCTACTTTATTTCCCTTGGGTCTCACGGTGTTCTCTGAACATTACAGGATATCCCTTTTCGTGGGAACCAAAACATGAAAAAAAAAAAACGGAAACACCCTGTACCTATTCTTTCGGTTTTAGCCGAATTTTCTTTCAAGGATCGTGAAAAACAGTTGGATCCAATGCGGTGGCTGGATCATTCCGGAAAAAAAGATGCGGTGCGAAAACTACGTGATTCCGCACGACAGGCGCGGCGTTCTTTGCATGTGCAACAGTGGCAGACATAAAGGCAACAGCGCCCAGTTTTTCGTCACTTTGGCACCTGCCCCTTGGATGGACTACAGATATGTGGCTTTCGGGTACGTAGCACAGAAAATTTTGCGAGAATATTTTCTCAAATGTTTAGAACGTTCTGGATATTTGAGGAACATTTCAGATCATTCTAGGATATCCATGGAACATTTGAGGCATTTATGGAACAATTAAGAAAATTCAGGTACATTTTCGAACAGTCCACAATTTTCTATGACATTCAAGATCGTTACTGGGCCCTGGGCACTTCGAAGGCATAAATTCATTACTGCATCGGAGATCCCTTTCATATTTTGTGCTATTCAGTGACTTGGCCACGAATGAGATTGACGTTTCAGTCTTCTACGCAAACAAAATTCAGATGCAACGAGTCGATTCGATAAATAAAACGTTGTGGTTTTGTTAAAGTAATATCGAGCTTCTTCTAGTGCAATTAGATTCGAAATAATATTTCCAGTGGTGTCACAGTGGGTGAATTTATTGATATTCATGGTGAATGACATTGTACACCACCAGTTTTTCTGAGTTTCATATTTTCATCAGGTTGAACTATTGAAATAACAACTTTTTCATCCTCTGTGTGATTTTTGTATCTAGCTTAGTTATAAACTATAAAAATTCGATTTGACTCCAAATTTTAATGTAGGTGTTTTCAAGACTTCCATTGAGATTACTCAATAACCCCAATTAGAAACATTCTGAAATTTTGGGGCTTTCTCAGTCTCCATCCATACTGAATTTTGGCACCATGAAAGCTTCTGAAACTTCATTTGCTAAAATGTCACAAGGAAAGACCCCTTGCATTTTTTCGGTGTTATTCAGATACACCCCACCCCGTATATCGAAAACAGGAACCTTCGGCACGATAATACTGTTATGTTATTCGAGTGCAGAAGCGAACACGACACTATTTATTTTCAAACTGATTTATTTGAACTAAAGAAACACTAATTTATATCGAACTTATAACTACAATTTATGTAAAACGATTTATATCACGCGGTATATAACTGTCTCTCTGACAGTCGCTGCTCGACTAGGTTAGGTTAGGTTCCATGTGAGTGGGGCGAACACCTCCCCTCCACTGCGACCCCAGATGGGTCTATTGTGGCTCACCCCTAGAGGTTACAGTTCACCGTACAATCCACATCTTTTTACAAAGTTCATGGTTGAATTGGGTGAGATTTGTCAGAAATCGATAGGTTCTAGGTTGGTAAAGCCAAATGTGTCGAACCTTAGTCTTTCTAAGCTAGAGCATGAACATAATATGTGTTCAGCCGTTTCGTCTTCCACACAACAGAACCGACAGTCCGTTTGTTGGTTCAGACCCGACAGTCCGTTTGTTGGTTCAGACCCATCCTTCCCAGGTGGTATCTTAGACGACAGTGTCCCGTAAGCAGTCCAGTCAGAATTCGCAGGTGACCCCTGCTCCATTTTAGGATCTGCCTGGTTATTTTTTCCGATGGTTTAGGCAGGAACGCCTTCGAATGGGTTAATCCTGGTAATTCGGACCAGTACGTGAGTGTTTTTCCCTCCGCCCAGCCCGAGATAGTTGTTTTCGCCGCACTTGCGGTGACCCCAAAATATGGTTCTGGTCCTATGAACACAGATTCGGTTCCCTGTTTGGCGAGGATGTCGGCTTTCTCGTTACCCTCCACCCCCTGGAGTTCAGGCACCCACAGCAAAGTGACTCTGTTGTTAGCACCCAGGCTTTCTAGGGATTCAATGCAGCTCCATACAAGCTTGGAATTTATCTTGCTGGAGCTCAGTGCTTTAAGCGCTGCTCGACTAACTGACGGCAGTTGTTCGGCCGTTGATATATGAGATCCCTTGGAAGGCTTTGGTTCGAGAACGTTCTCGAATGATCTTTTGTCTCCTTCTTTTTGTTCTAGAAGCTTCTTAGAACAAAACCTCTCTCTCTAATTGTTTCATCGATTGTTTCCCGAACATTCCAGAATCTTCTGTCACGTTATTTGTCACTGCGGCATATATTGAGTGTTCGGAAATATGCTGGTGTATGTAGGAATCATTAGGACGTTGGAGAACAATCTGAGATGCGTGTTACAGGATGATCGTTGTACTCCTGTCTTACTGATGATGTTTCTAGAGCCCCTCTAAGGGAAATATCATTACAATACATTACATACTGTTTCAACACTAACCAATCCGATTTCCTTTTTTTCTGAAAAAAATATATGGATAAACATACTACAGAGTGAATTTTGAAATTTTATTTGATTGTTGAATTCAATAAATTTGTGGTCAAAAATAATATTTGATGAATTTTTGGTTAATCAATAACATCATTTGATATTCGAATTGTAGGCAATTGATACAGGGGGCGGAAGTTCTGAGGCAAATCGAAGAAGTGCCAACGTACTATGAATGCCCACAACTGCCCATTGACATTGCGATGAGCGGAGAAGTCACCTTCGACAATACTCCCAACTTCTCCAGTTACGAGGAGTTTCAGGAATTGCAACACATGCAACCGACCTCGCTGCTGGACTGTCTAATAGGTAAGTAAATATACAGGGTGTTTCAGAGTTGTGGTGACGAGAGCCTAGTGATTATTCCTCTCAACATAATAAACTCGTAATTTCTAAAATATTGAACCAATTTTGAATTGCCGCCCAGATTCTGAATGCCTTTAACATCGTCTTTCGAACTGTTCCTTGCAGCTTCTTCTAAATTGATCAGGACCCGTGATACAGGGTGAAACAAACTTTCGTGCATTTTGAAAAAAAATTCTCCGCCCCCCCATTTTGTCGGAAGACCACGATGCTCATATTTTATTCGGGCATTTCATAAATAGCAACCATACCTCGGGACGTTTTCGAGTTTTTGTCAAAAACTACTGTGGTTTCCGAAAAAAAAAAATTTTTTTGTATTTTTTTTAATGGGCTAATGTTAGAGGAGTTCCATAAATGGATGCTTTTATGCATTTCAGGAAAGCGTTGGAGCAGATATATATACCAGGTTACTCAAAAACAATCAATAATTTATTACTTCGCAGTCTATGATAAAAGTTTTCTACCTTAGTGAGCAGTAAATCAACACATCAACAAAAACAAACAACGATACCTTGTTTCTCTAACAACGTATTGTTGAAACAATGTAGTTATGCATAGAGGTTATATCAATTGCAAATTTTCATGAAAACGTCAGTGTAATTCGGGTCCTAAAAAATTTGAAGATGCCTTGTTCAAATCCGGTCGAAATGGAAAATATCATTAGGTAAGATCACTATAGTGATATAAACTATAATTCAGTACAGATAATTATTATTTCAGGTTACGACGATTAGGATATACCCAAACTCATTTAAGTACCATTTTCAATAAGTCAGTCATGACAATAAATAGAATGATTCATCGTTTTGAGGATACAGGTAATCAGTCCATTTAAAAAAAATGCAAAAAAATTTTTTTTTCGGAAACCACAGTAGTTTTTGGCAAAAACTCGAAAATGTCCCGAGGTATGGTTGCTATTTATGAAATGCCTGAATAAAATATTAGCATCGTGGTCTTCCGACGAAATGGGAGGGGCGGAGAAATTCTTTTCAAAATGCACGAAACTTTGTTTCACCCTGATCAATTTAGAAGAAGCTGTAAGGAACGGTTCGAAAGACGATGAAAAAGGCATTCAGAATCTGGGCGGCAATTCAAAATTCGTTCAATATTTTAGAAATTACGAGAAGTCAAACTTGATGCCAAATTTCACTATTAACGTTTCAATTGACGCCCAGTTTATACAAAAAAAAAAAGAGTATTTTATTATTATCTTGAAAACGCCTAAGCCGATTTGAATGAAATTTGTATGGTTCAATAGGCCCTTTCTTTTGTACGAAAAGTGCAGCACATTCGTACACTTCTTGTGGTTTACACCTTATTTGAGCATTCTTTTGAAAAGTGCATTTCACACCAGTGTAGTTTATCTCCACCTGGTCTTGAGCAGGTGTGAATCACACTCGAATTAAATAATTGATGAAATCGCGATAAATGACTCGAAATACATATGTGATTATACTTTTATCAGATATAACACCTGTACTGGGAAATCAGTTAAATCAAATACCACATTTCAAAATTAACTCTGTTCACTTTTGCACTTTTCCTCTTCAATAAAATTTTCTTCATTCGTTTGAAATTCGTTGGTGTAGCTGCACGAAATATCAGCTGATTCATAGTGTATTGCATTTCACACGACACTGAAAAACAGACGAAAGAACCTATTTACACAATTATCTATCTTTTCTATCCTTTTTCTCTCCTATCATTTCCCTATCATCTCTCTTTCTCTATCCTTTCTCTCTCCTCTCTCCTTTATCTATTCTTTCTCTATGGTCTATCTCCGTCCCTTCTCTATGATCTATCATATTGCTTTCTCTATTCTATTCATCTTATTTATCTCTCCTCTATTTTTCCTCCTTCCTTTCCTTCTTCCCTGCTCTCCCCTCCCAGCTTTTACTATCCTCTTTTATCCCTCCCTTCACAATCTGGTTGTTCACAGAGATATCATGAGTTTTTATTCATACACCCTGTATATTATATTTTTTCAAAGGTCCCAGGGGTGGAGCCAGTCCTTCGACAATTTCCGTATTTTCCAAGGCGGATTCGAAACAAGGAATAGAAAGCTACATGAAAGGATACCTGCGCTTCCAAGATATGGACGAATATTATTGTGATGATAAAGGCCAACAGAGTAAGAAAATCGGGGTTTTCGAGAACATAAATTTCCACTTATAATACCACGACAGCTATTACCGAAATTTTTTTCATGAACATGAATATTTTGGGAATTTTCCTGAGTCGACATTTAATTCAAACCCAAATTATTTCGTGGCACTGGCGACAGCATAATGCCTAGAGTTCCCAGAAATACAAGAACAACAAATCCTCGTTTTATCTAGTCAAGATGCGAATATTCAAAGATATTCATTTTTTTATCTGATTCTTCAGTTGTGTGTTGTGTCCTATGTTGTCTGTAGTGAGTATTCAGTCCGGAAAATTCACTAGAGTCTAGGGCGAGCACCTTCTGAGGAGGCTAACTTTTCACGCCTTTTCCCGCGTTTTTCTTGTAACGAAATATCGTGAATTTCAATAATAATTTTAAAAATGCGCAGAGTTCTGGGGGGAAAACGGTTTGCGATAGTTAATTAGCTAGGGTTAGTATTTCGAAATGATGAAATACAATTTTTCACTGAAACAGGCCCATTGAAAACTAAAAACAAAAATCGAAAACTTTATTAAAATTATTTCGATATCATAATAATTCGATCTAATTTTTGCTTTTCAGTTGAAGAAGTGGATGATGATTACATTGAAAGCGAAATTATGGAAACTCCTTCATTAGATCTATTTACACTGAACGACAAAGATACATACTGCCAGTCTCCCAGCGATACTACAATATAAAATTGTAAATACAAAATAAATGTGGAATATACATTGAACCAATTCATTAATGCACCAGCCATTTCATTTATTTTTGTTACTTAGAAAAGGTCACCTACTATACAGAGTGTCCCGAAATCAACCTACCCAACTTCACCTGCGGCTTCTACGACTCAAACTTTTCATCCTATTATTTGTCATGGACTTTGGCAGGCTAATAACGGGTCACCCAGTATGAAATTACCGACAAAAGACATCATCACAAAAAGGAATTCAACAGTCATTACCATAATACTTCACAAAATGAACGAAAATGGTAGATAAAGAGAGAAAAACAACTAATCTCCTGGCCATATATGCCACGCTTCTGCATTGTATATTCCCGGTACCTATGCAACGATTCGTGGAGACGCAATACAGAGCTGCAAGGGAATATTTCCTAAATGCTGAACTGTGTCCAAATCGTCCAGGAAGGCTAGACTACCTACACACCGGTTTCGAGCTTGGGGCTCTCATCAGTGCAGGGGTGACCCCGGATGGCATTCATGACTGCCATCCGGTGCGAACCTGACCCAACGTGAACACATCCTAGCATTTGATACCCGCGAGAAGTTCGGCATCTGCCAGAAGGACGCCACTTCTTTGTGACCATTTCATTCCAATTTGAGTATATTTCCTAGTTGACAGAAAGGAATCATCAATTGTTTCAACACGGATTTCATGGAAAACTAGCTGACCTGGCAAACGTTGTTTTGCCATAGCATTATTTCTAGAAAAAATGTTGTTGCATAAATATTTATCAAAGAACTTTCATTATTTTATATATATTTCTTTTTAGTTCGGCTATCCATGAAAACGGGATTCCTAAGTTTTCCAAACTTTTCTACTTATTCTCTACTTTTTTTTTAGTTCGGCACTCTATATCTCATTTTTTCATTTATTCATCTCAGATTTATATAAACATTTTGTCATCCCAGCTAAACTCCTGATACAAATATTGGTTTTATGCATGGGAAATTGATTTCTGATGACTAAGTCTTCATTAACTAAGTCTATATCGGATCCAGTATCAAGTAAGACCTTGACCATATCATCATTGACCTTCAAAAGTTTAACATTTCGATTTTCATTATCTCCATATGTAGAATAATTCATATACATTTCAACATTTTCTATTTCGTCTTCCAAAGAACTATAAAAATTAGTATTCATTGGTTGTCCTTTATAATAATTATTTGTTTCGTTTCTTCTTTCTTGTCTCTTCTCCACTATTCCATTACTCTGCTCTATTTCCATGCCAACTTGACTATTTTTGTTCACTCCTGGTCTAAACTGATGGTTATAGGATGCTCTATTGAACGTTTTCAGGGATTTCAATGTGTGTAAGAGCTCTTCTTTGGAATTTATCAATCTACCATTTATCTGATTTTGGATGTGTGAAGGTAAACCCAGTATAATCAAAGAAATTATAGATTTTTCACATAAATTTTCGTCAGCCCAATACAATAGTCTTTGCTTTTCATAGAAGTATTCTAGCGTACTTCCCTGGTAAAATTTATAAAATAGTGCTTTTTCCCATTTTATCAAAACGTTTTCATCAAATGTTTTGATGAAACATGATTTCCAGTCATTCCAGGTGAATTGGTTCATATTTCTGGTCCGAATTCTGTCCTCATACCAATGCAATGAAGTTCCGGTCAGATAGCTTCTTAAATTGAATATTTTGTCAGCATCCGAGTTCCACTGATTGGAAATACATAGATATTCATAATTGTTCAACCATGTATTTGGGTTTTCATCGAGACCTTTGAACTGTGGGAGATTTGGTTCAGTTTTCTTAGATAAAGCTGACATCCATTTTGACATTAGATGATCCAATTCGAATTTTCCAAAAACTATCTTGCTTTGCTCATCTCCGGATCCTTGTATTTGATCATAATCCACTCTAGCAAACGTAGGATTCAAATTTTCACCCGACTGCGCCATTTGTAATACTATTCAGAAATATTCTGATAGAGAGATACAGATCTTGAATATTTATTGTACAAATAATACTAATGATACTCATTTCTATAGCAACATCAGATTATACAGAGATTATACTCTACTATAACATTACACTACTCACTTCTTTTTTGTTTGGCTTTCTATGAAAATGTGTTTCATTAGTTTTTCAAACTACTATTCATTACAATAGCTGATGCTGATACCTGGCACACGACGTTTTGCTGTGTACATTTTCTTCTAGAAAATATTTTTTTAGTTAAATATGCATCAGTACACTTTTATTATTTTGTTTAGAACTCCTTTTTAGTTTGGATATCCATGAAATCTTGTTAGATTAGTATTTCAAACTACAATATTTATTTTCTACTTCTTTTTAGTTCGACAATCTATCTCGTTTTTCAAAGTATACTATCAATTTTCTACTTCTATTCAGTTTGGCCTCGGGTTTGGCAATCTATAAAAGCGTGTTCCATTATAGTTTTCCAAACTACTATTTATTACAAAGTTCTTTCACCATATTGGATCCGCCATCTTGAATTTCCCAATTTCATGATTTTAATCTTCCACCCCGAAAACCCACAGATACAGATTTTGAATAGAATCGGATCATAATTACAAAACCCGTCCGCCATATTTGATCCTCCATCTTCAATTTCCTAATTTTGATGAAAGAATCATAATCTCCGACCCGAAAATCACCCAGATACAAATTTTGAATGGAATCGGATCATATTTACAAAACTCGTCCGCCATATTGGATCCGCCATCTTGAATTTCCAAATTTTGACGAAAGAATCATTATCTCCGACCCCGAAAACCACCCGATATCAATTTTGAATAGAATCTGACCATAATTACAAAACTCGTCCGCCATATTGGATCCGCCATTTTGAATTTCTTCATTTTGATAAATGATTCATATCTCCGACCTCTAGAACCTCCAGATACCAACTTTGAATAGAATCTGACCATAAAAACAAAACTCGTCCGCCATATTGAATCCGCCATTTTGAATTTCTTCATTTTGATAAATGATTCATATCTCCGACCTCTAAAACCTCCAGATACCAACTTTGAATAGAATCTAACCATAAAAACAAAACTCGTCCGCCATATTGGATCCGCCATTTTGAATTTCCTAATTTTGATGAAGGAATCTTAATCTCCGACCGCGAAAACCCCCCAAATACCAATCTTGAATGAAATCGGATAACAATACTCGTCCGCCATATTGGATCCGCCATCTTGAATTTTCGATTTAAAAAATAGATTACGACCGACTCTCATACCTACCGAATACGCACAAAAAATGTCATACCAACCGGTCGAGCCATTTCGGAGGACTTCGACCACTAACACCGTGACCGGGACAGGAGAATTTTATAATATATTAGATGTTTCTACATCTACTACAGACCTACACACTATGATTTAAGAAAATCGGAATAACAAATTCCAATACGAAATTATTTTTAGGGAATTTGGTCCATATTTTGAAATTAACTGAAACACCTTGTATCATCAACGTGAATAATCTCTTGAAATTACTGCACCTTCGGTTCTTTATACATCTTTGTCGGGTGACTTAAGTTATTTCTAAACAGTTTGTAAGGAAGTGAAAGAAGAAAAATACCAGCACCAATACTACTTTCAACTATACATACCTTCACTTATTCTTAATTCTAAAGCTTCGAGCATCACATTTTAATTTATATCTAAGTCAGTTCAGGTAATCGTTTGCTACATATTCGCAACTTCTTTGGATGGTGATGTGTGGATATTGCTGGCGCCAAATATCAACCTACAATGTGAGGAAAAATTATCGATTTCAAAAATTGCTGTAGATTTCAAAAATTACGGTAGAAGCCCATAGTCTCAAAGTGGAGTATTGTAGTAACAATGGAAAAAAGAACTTAAAATCCACTCCACAACTCACCACCTTCAGGGAATGTTTCAAACTTAAAAAAAGATAATTTTCAGCCTTTACAATCAATGATAGATTGTTATGAATCATGTTGGAATGGGGACACTTCCTTCAGATGAATTTTCATAAAATAAGTTCGGAACTCTCGAGTTTTATGTCCACGCTGTACAGAATGGCGACCGATAAAGTCCAAGTCGTTATCATTTTCAAATGAAAGCAATTTCTAATTTTCGGGGCGACAAACTATGACGTACATTCTGAATCTAGTCTGAAAATAGCTGATGGTGAAGAATATAGCTAGCGAATAGCTAACGAATGAAAAAAGAAAGAAAAAAATAGAAGAAGTAAAACTGACAAACGAAAACATACATAACCACAAATGCACTAGGAGCAGGAATGCAGAGGGTAGTTGGCTTCATTCTGAGAGGTTACTGTTTCGTTATTCATGCATTGAAATATCTCGAATAGAGCTCAATCCTGAACGGAAATATAATCGAATCAGTGAATCACTATCGGCTACATTCAATGATATTGTCCTTCCTAATTTACTGTCATCGGTCAGAACAGAATGAAGCCGACACCCATGGCTCTTTCCTCTTGTTGTGCCTGTCAGTATTTTGAGTGGTGTGGACGGACTCAAAGTATTCGGCGCTGTTGCATTATATAATCTGCAAATTTACTAGAAAATAGATCCGTTTCATTAAGGAACTAATTCATTAGCAAAAAAATGATTCAGCAGTTATGAATTACATATACTAATATAACGATAGTGAAAAATTATAGATCATATCGCAAAATAGCATTATTCATCTTTATTAGTAATCAACTTCATTCAGCCAATGAGAAATTTATGGGAATTATCCATAATACTTGACAAAGTAAGATTGAAGAACCTATTATATCCCATTACTGTTATTTTATATTTATTATGCATTCAAAGAACAATTTCCGGAAATCTAGACATATTGATGATGTCGGCAACGTCGTTACTTCCACAGGGAATCGTATTTTACCTCTGTGTGAATGCGGATTTTTAGAAAGTACGTCATAGAAATGGTGGAGGAGCTAAGTTCATCTTTTATTTATTTTTTCTGAGGTAAAATTTGATCTTACGAAAAAGAGGAAAAACACATAATATGTATTAATTTTTCACAAACTTCACATTGAGATAAGAACCTCAATATAGGAAACTTCCCCATTGATAACAACATTTATTCTAACTGGAAACATTGTGATAAGTTCCAGTAAATAACAAAAAAAAATCATAAATAACATGTACAGAGTGATTGATAACAACATTTATTCTAACTGGTAACATTGTGATAAGTTCCAGTAAATAACAAAAACAAATCATAAATAACATGTACAGAGTGGTTGGAAGTCGAGGCTCATCATTGGGATCTCGTAAACTGTAAGAGATACAGGGTCCGTTAAATGGAGGCAAAGTGGCGCAATTTAATGCTGATCAAAATGCCGCCTCAAAAGTTTGGAAATACCGAATATTTCGAGATACTCATTTGAAAAAAAAAAACGAATATCCGCGATTTCATTTTCATTTTTTTCTGACTTTATTTGGAGTGATGTCAAAATGAATATCATATTAGCATTGCCACTTCTTCTGCTCTTTTCAATGGCATTGATAGATTCATGATCCGACGTTTTGTCTTCGAGAAGCCATCATCAACTTTGTTTTTTTAAATGGTCGGAAAAATTTTTCGATACTAAAAAACTCGTAATTCCAATTCTGAATCAAACGACATACAAGACTTTGTAATTATTCTACGTTTCGGACTAAAAAATCATTATCATTGTTATTTGATGATGGTTACGAGGAAACGAAACGTCGGAACGAAAATCTGATGACGGTGTCTTGTAGAGAAGGAAAAATGACTACGAAAATGTCGAATTCATTTTGGTCTATCTCTCGGTCTATCTCTATTTCAGTTTTTAATAAAAAGTTATTCTCCAAGTTTCTGATTCTAAGAAATGATCTTTTTCTGATTTCACTATAAGAGAGACCAAAATGAATTTGATCCGACGTTTCGTTTTCTCGTAACCATCATCAAATATCATTTATAATGATTTTTTGGTCCGAAACGTAAGATAAGTGTTATATGTCGTTGGATTCAGAATTGGAATTAGAGTTATTTAGGAACAAAAAAATTATTTTCGACCATTTAAAAAACATAGTTGATGATAGCTCCTCGAAGATAGATAGAGCAGAAAAAGTGGCAATGCTAATATGAAACTCATTTTGACATCACTTCAAATAAAGTTACAAAAATATAATAACGAAATCGCGGGTATTCGTTTTTTTTTCAGATATCTTCGGAAGTATTCGGAATTTCCAAACTTTTTAGGCGGCATTTTGATCAGCATGAAATTGCGCAACTTTTCCATATTTCAACCGACCCTGTATCTCTCACGGTTTTCGAGATCCCAATGACGAGCCTCGAATTCCAGCCACCCTGTACAGTCGAGTGCGTGTAATTTCAAAGTCAATGCAATCGATTTATTGAATTTTGTGACCTTGGAAAAAAATCTACTTGACTCCACCCATTGGCTACTTCTCACAGAAATTAAATACTTCTATACGTTGTCGAGATATTGGCGTACAGAGTTCTAAGTGATAAACCCTGTATATACATCAATCCGATTGTCTAATGAATCACCCTGTATAGGTGAAAATTATACATATCAAAAAGAATTGAAATGATGGTTATGGAAGTGAAAATACCCTATTTTTAATCATAAATGTGACAAAAAGCAAAAGTTGACACATGAATATTGAACGCACCTCATCATGTCTGATAGAATCACAGAAACTGATATCCAGGAGCCTGAGCTTGGGTAGGAGAAGCAAAGCCTTTTCGCAAATATCGCCGGAAATATTTTTGATGCCCATGAAATCAAGTTGTGTCAATTCTTTGCACGATCTAACTACGGGCAGTAAAAGATGATCGTTGAGTCCTCTCCATTCCGATAATATCAACCTGAAAATTCAAGAATTTCCAACATAATAATATAATCTTTTTAATATTCATTATAGAAACTTCTATGCCATGTTTTCTTATGGTATTATATTTTGGGCAAACTCCGAGTTCAGTCAGAGAATTTCCAAACTAAAAAAAAATGTCTTGAGAGTATTCAAGCTTTTCAACAAATTCCTGATTGTACTAAAGAATACACCGATCAGGAAATTCAAAGCAGCAATTGTGAAAATGTTACTGAACAATTCTTCTTTCATACTACCTCGTATAAGCCTCATGAAGACTTACTGTATATTTATCTTCATTAGTATGAAAAACATGTTATCAAACCTATGTCAATTCTGCAGTCTCTTTTAAATTTCCTCGTATGAACCTCATGAGAAGTTACTGTATTTATACATTCCACAATTTTCCGGAACATTGCGATATTCATCACGTTAAAACATATTCTTCTTCATACCGGGACAATCTGGACATATTTTTTATCGCACCTTGTATATCCATCGTCAAGAATAAAATAAATTTCATACTTCTGGAACTACAATCGTAATTTTTTGAATTTTATGATTCATCTTAAGGAAAATGCATCATTTTGATAAAAATGTGTACCTTCAATATATGACCTTCGATCCAAGAAATTACAAAACCATTTCGAGGTCATACACCAGACATCCTCATGACGAAGTAACACTCCATTATTTCACTAGTAGCACAGAGAAAACTATGTTTCATCTACTTAACCCAGATAAATCTTTTTTGAGGAATTCAGAACTTTGAATGCTCCATATTCCATCTGAATGAGGTCGAAATAAATGAAGTATATGTATTTTATGATTTGCTTTCATTCAAAGGTACTTGAATCTGGCCGTCCTACATTTAGGACATTAGGCACATAGGGATGATAATTGAAATTGGTTATGTTTCTTGATGATACATGATGAAAAACTTCGTGTTAGACTCCACACGTTTTTGTTATCTCAGATAATATCACATCATCCTCTGAAGAAAAACTATCATCAACACCAACATGACTTTCATCGTGTCAAAAATTCAACTCAACAGGAGCGCGAAATTCAGATCCTGTCAACTCGTTTATTGAAAAGTGTTCTCGCACGAATCGTCATCTGTCAACTCAGTAGATGCGTTAATTGTAGGTCGTATAGCTGCCTAATGTCCTATATGTAGGACGGCAACAATAAACCTGAGATATAAAAAACAAATATCATGAATGGTCGACAAAGATACGGCATATCAAACAAAGGTTTTTTAAGTGATCATTGAGACCACAAATTGGATTTGAACATGAAAATAAGAATGGAATAATAACTCACCAAGCAAAACGTACCCTGTTATCTTCCATTTTCTGAAATAACCTTACTTCAAACCTGCTGTTGAGCTCAAATGGAGCAAGTCTGTGAACATTTTTGACATGTCCATAATCATTTGATGTGGAATGAATGCGTAGTTTTGCTACATATAGAAAGATGACGCTAGTAGAGAAAAAAATAGAGCGAGCATAGGTGAAATACATATAGGACATTAGGCCTATCTGGGTTGAAACTACGTTATTCTCCATTCCATCATTCAGTAGTTTTTTGTATCACTTTGTATAGACTTCTTCAAAATTTTCTGTGTTCGAACACATTCACATATACAACGACTATACATACAACGTTGATTTTTCGAAAAAGAATTCCAACTTCGAATTTCATTCAATTAATCGTCGAAAAAATGCATAATTTTGAATGAATATTCATAACACGATTATCAAAGCTCTGAATTTGGAAATTCCGAAAACGTTTTGAGAGAAAGCATCAATCAAGAGGATACATGTGAGAAAAAAAATGAAAAAAATCATCTGTTCAAACGGTAAGGTGACGACTACGATGCAATTTTACACCCATTCAATTATCACCCTGTAGCAATGTAATCTGAAAGTACAGAAGTTCCATATTGCCACAACAAACTATCAAGAGATAGGCTAATCATCGGTGAAAACCGATTTCAAATTGGTGAGGAAATTCGTGAGTTATTCTACTTTGAATTCAGGCTATATTTTGGACCACGACGCCAACAATGTTGACCAGTTTATCTATCATGGCGTTGTTCCAAAACAAAAACAAATAGTTTTAATAATAGTAGATTGTTTTATTAGGATCAAAAGTGACACTTTGTTTGACAAGCGAATTTTGCATTTGCGAGTTTAGCGAAGCCGAGCGAACGCAAAATTTGCGAGTCGAACAAAGTCACTTTTGATCCGAATTGAACATGCTATTTTTTCTGCAACCGAAACAATTAACTCAAATAAACATGTGAAGTAACCACCAATGCCGTGCCATATGTATGCAATGCAACAAATATTGACAAATAATCCATGTGGTGAGAATATTCTACCTGCATTAACAGCAGGTTAGGTTTTCTAGGATGTTCGAGTTGTAGTTTCAATATAAATACAACCACAGAGTGACATATTTGTGTATGGACCAGGTGCTCTAATGGCAAATACCGCGCCAGTGCCAGCTATAGGAACAAGACGTTGAAAATGTTAGGTTAGTGAGCATATCAACAATGATAACAGTGATTATTTATTCCTCTGCATGCTACACTGTGTTTGACTTGATAATCAAATGAAGCTAAACAATATCGTTGTTTGAGACAAAAAAACTATTGCTTGCCGTGAATAACGAATGAAATACAGATCAAGCAAGTATTTGAATCTTGAAGGCTTCCCTGAACAAAACAAAAATACTTAACTGAGATGTTTATAATTCCAATACTAAACTATGATAAGGTGTATTTATATCTCCAGCATGGGTATAAAATGCCAAATCTGCTGAAATCGGAAACAAATCAGGTATGCGTCTCAACCCAAATAACCAACCGTCACAATGTTGTTTATTCTTGATGACGTCCAGTAGATTTTTCTAGTTCCTAGGACCTAATGTTCAACTTTAGCTCCTAGGAACTAAAATTCAACTTTAGCTCCTAGGAACTAAAATTCAACTTTAGCTCCTAGGAACTAAATATGTTGCCTAGCAACATACCTATTTTTGTGTCAGTAATAGAAACGTCAATTTAAGAGCTAATATTGGTATCGAAATGGACGACATTTGTGTCGGTTGCAGAAAAACAATATCATTCGGCAAAATTATTATAGGCAACAAGTTGTCGTAATTAACAATCGCCGAATATTTCCGGCAAAATAGTATCACTTGTGATATACCATATGAATATTTCACCTCTCGCCGACTGAGTTTTTATTTGAGGAGACAATCGCCCAGTAACAAGTGATGAAAGGATTCACGAACCTTTTCAGTTGCGGACACCCTTCAGCTATGAACGACAAACAATTCCCCGGGTCCTTGCTGATCATGCACCAGCCGAGATCGAGTTCCCTGATGGTCGGACATTGGCCGAAACGTCTGACGCCGTCCGCCGTCAAAGACAGCGTCTTCCACGAGCTCCACGTGGTTATTTCTCGATTGTGATCTACCAAAGTCTCGACGACTTGGTCTAGTCGAGACAAATTCTCGCACAAATCTGGAAAAAATTACGATTTTCAAAATACAACTCGCTACTTACTTGTTCACATAATATGACTGATGATTCATTCACTGTTTCTACCGGTTTTGATGAATATGCTCTTTGAATCGTTTATCAACATTTCTGCATGTTGACCCAATATATAACCAGTAGGTCGAATAATAAGTTGTGCAATCAAAATATTAATAAATAGATGTTGAGGTATCCTAAAATTGTTGTCTACTTTCGAAGATATTCGATGATTATTTTTATTATTCCAAAAAACAATGGAGGCGCACATAAGGAAAACTAACTTACGATTTTCAAAATACAACTCGCTACGTGTCCAAATACCTACTTTTTCACATAATATGACTGATAATTCATTCAATGTTGATTTCAGGAAGATTTTACCGATTTTGATGAATATGTTCTTTGAATCGGTTTTATCAACATTTCTGCATGTTGGCCCAATATACACAGTGTGTCCAAGATAAGGAGGAACAGCATGGAGATCTCGCGATAACCGTAAGAATTACACAGTAGGTCGAATGATAAGTTGCGCAATCATAATATTCAAAAATAGATGTTGAGAAATCCCAAAATTGTTGTCTACTTTCGAAGATATTCGAAAATAAACGAATTTGGCATTATCTGAAGATATTGTTTGATTATTATTATCATTCCAAAACACAATGGAGGAGCACATAAGGGAAACTAACTTACGATTTTCAAAATACAACTCGCTATGTGTCCAAATAACTACTTTTTCACATAATATGACTGATAATTCATTCACTGTTGTTTTAAGGAAGATTATACCGAATTTGATGAATATGCTCTCTGAGTCGGTTATCAACATTACTGCATGTTGGCCCAATATATAGTGTGCCCAAGATAAGGATGAACAGCATGGAGAATTCGCGGTAACCGTAAGAGTTACACAGTAGGTCGAATGATAAGTTGCGAAATCATAATATTCATAAATAGATGTTGAGAAATCCCAAAATTGTTGTCTACTTTCGAAGATATTCGAAAATAAACGAATTTAGCATTATCAGAAGATATTGTTTGATTATTTCTATTATTCCAAAAAATAATGGAGGAGCACATAAGGAAAACTAACTTACGATTTTCAAAATACAACTCGCTATGTGTCCAAATAACTACTTTTTCACATAATATGACTGATGATTCATTCACTGTTGTTTTAAGGAAGATTATACCGAATTTGATGAATATGCTCTCTGAGTCGGTTATCAACATTACTGCATGTTGGCCCAATATATAGTGTGCCCAAGATAAGGATTAACAGCATGGATATCTCGCGGTAACCGTAAGAGTTACACAGTAGGTCGAATGATAAGTTGCGCAATCATAATATTCATAAATAGATGTTGAGAAATCCCAAAATTGTTGTCTTTTTTTCGAAGATATTCGAAAATAAACGAATTTGGCATTATCAGAAGATATTGTTTGATTATTTTTATTATTCCAAGAAAAAATGGAGGAGCACATAAGGAAAACTAACTTACCATTTTCAAAATAAAACTCGCTACGTGTCCGAATAACTACTTTTTCACATAATATGACTGATAATTCATTCACTGTTGATTGAAGGAAGATTATACCGATTTTGATGAATATGCTCTTTGAGTCGGTTATCAACATTTCTGCATGTTGGCCCAATATATACAGTGTGTCCACGGTAAGGATTAACAGCATGGATATCTCTCGGTAACCGTGAGAGTTACACAGTAGGTCGAATGATGAGTTGTGCAATCAAAAGAATAATAAATATATGTTGAGGAATCCCAAAATTGTTGTCTACTTCCGAAGATGTTCGAAACAAACCGAATTTGGCATTATCAGAAGATATTGTTTGATTATTTTTATTTTTCCAAGAAACAATGGAGGAGCACATAAGGAAAACTAACTTACGATTTGCAAAATACAACTCTCTACGTGTCCAAATACCTATTTTTTCACATAATGAGACTGATAATTTATTCACTGTTGATTTCAGGAAAATTTTACCGATTTTGATGAATATGCTCTTTGAATCGGTTATCAACATTTCTGCATGTTGGCCCAATATATACAGTGTGCCCAAGATAAGGATGAACAGCATGGAGATCTCGCGGTAACCGTAAGAGTTACACAGTAGGTCGAATGATGAGTTGTGGAATCAAAAGAATAATAAATATATGTTGAGGAATCCCAAAATTGTTGTCTACTTCCGAAGATGTTCGAAACAAACCGAATTTGGCATAATCAGAAGATATTATTTGATTATATTTATATATAAACTTACTACATTAAAGTTCGAAAAAATATGAAATATGATGATAAAAAATTTCAATAGTACAATAATTACAACATGTAATACTTAATGATTCTAATTGATATGAATATTCATCTTAAGTTTTCAAATCATTAATCATGCTGTAATTTACTCGAAGTTTGCAAGTATTTTTTCAGATACTTTGAATTTTCTTGCAATCTTGATATTTTTTATTTCGTTAGGTAATGAATTGTACGAGTTATTTCATCATAAAATTTGAATTTTTCGCTGATGTCTTTGAAATCAAAGTTGAAAACTTTCAATTTTCTTCACACAAATTGAATGAAACGAAGAATTGTGTAAAATGATACAATTTTGCTCGAGTTTACAGTAGGAATTGAATCTTGAATCTTGAATAAGATGCCTGTGATAGGATATACAGATATATTTACATTGCATACCCAAAAATCAATGTGAAATTATTTGGGCATTCAGAATCCCTCAACTGTTCAATCTAAAGTCAGTTCTTTTCGTGTAATTTTCGCAGCAGTTCTTCACATTTACCTACAACCAACCAAATACTGTGTTCTGTGAATCATTTCCCAACATTCCTGAATGTTTGCCCAATATATTCCATTGTACATACATTATTACACCAATATGAATATCTTGATTTCCATACTCGAAAAATCGAAGAATCGATTAACGTTTTCAATCATTGCAATCCCGATCCTCTAAATTGTTTTCAAATTATTTGCCGCCGTTGATTTTCTTTACATTCACTTAGGTACCCACTTATTACTCAATATATCTGGGATGAGAAATATGTTCTTTGAATCGTTTACCAATATTTCTCCATGTTTGCCCTATATATTTCATATCTCCGCGTTTACCCACCTATTATGACATGCTTCAAATGCGGATTCGCCTTGAGTATGTTGATGAGGTCGTCGTCTTGAATATCGGAAGCTGTCAAATCCAATGCCACCAATTTATTCAGGAAATGCAGGGACGGATATCGGTGATCGAAACAAGAATTAGTATTCTTCAGTCTCAAGTCTACGGAACAATTACGTTAGCTAACCTTCAAATTACAAAGAAAATAGTAGTTAACCTAACAAGTGGGGAAAGTGATACTTTTTCGCACGCGATTTAGCGGAGTTGAGCAAGAAATCGCGTGAGGAAAAATCACTTCACGCACTTGTTATACACACTATTTCTTCTACTAGCGTGCAGAAAAAACCCAGAAGTTGACATAAAGGAACATTTTTTAATTAAATACATAATAGATCAACAATTGAATCAATATTAATATTGCACACGTGCAATTTGAAGCATTCTGCAAATTAATTGCAGAGGCTAAAATGTTTTTCAATGAAGTCAGATTCTAGTTATGCACTGCTTTGTCACTTTTCCGCACTAGAGCGGAAAATCGACTTTTTCAACACTAAAATGAGTGCGGAAAAGTGAACTTCTCCGCACGCTTGTATGACAATAGATTACCTAACAAGTGCGGAGTAATATACTTTTCCGCACGCGATTTAGCGGAGTTGGGCCAGCAATCGCGTGCGGAAAAGTCATTTTGCGCACGTGTAGGGCACACTATTTTTTCTACTGGCGTGCGGAAAAAACCCACAAGTTGACATAGTGGAACATTTCTAATTAAATACATAATATATAAACAATTGAATCATTGAACACGGTAAAACTGCATTTAGCATGCGATGGTTTTTTTTTGAAAATTTTTTTTTGTACTTACGTATTTTTGTCTGAAAAACACGAATTTGATAATGAAAATGTGAACAAACCACTATTTATCGAGATATTTCAAAAAAAGTTCGAAATTTCGACTCCTTTTTCCCCTTGCGTTGGATGCATTTTCAGGTACTTGCTCTTCTTATTTTGTCATTGGACACTTTATATACTCATGATGTACTTCAATGACACATTTTTATACAGAAAATTCAACAGGAAATATGATTTTTATGGTGAGTTTTTCCTATTTAGTGAGCAAGCATACCAGATGACGGCCATTTAATCCATAGGCAATCCAAATACAAGATGTCAAATGTCAATAGATTGCTTTGGAATGACATTACACACGCCATTATTTCAAATGATATTCTTCCTTCTTTTCACTAAATATGGATAAATCACAAGAAAATCATATTTCTAGTTGACTCAATAATAGAAAAAAATGTGTCTTACATTGTGATATATTATATAAATTGTCCAATGATGAAAAAAGAAGGGTAAATTGTTTTAAATTCAATCCAGAAGACAGGCGGAAAAGAAGGTGAAATTTGTAACTTTATAGTGAAATATCTTGATAAATAATGGTTTGTTCACATTTTCATTATCAAATTCGTGTTTTTCAGACAAAAATAAGTAAGTATACTAAAAAAAAAAAATTCGAAAAAAAAAACATCGCATGCTAAATGCAGTGTTGCCTTGAACACTATTGCAAAATATATCATTTTCAAACTAGGAATGTCAATACATATTTCAGACGTTTGAATTTAGGAATGAGACATCTAATTTTTTTCAAAACATAATCTACATGATTATCCCACTTTTGATTATTATCAATCATTACGCCAAGGTATTTGATGCAATAAGTTTCATGAATGTTGATTGAAATTTATTGCTACTGGTGAAAAAATAGTTATTTTCCTAACAAGTGCGCAAAGTGTTACTTTCTCGCACGCAAATACAGTTAGGCGAACGACGCGGAGCGGAGTTCGAATAAGAAAGGAAAATAAAAAAAATTATAACTCATTGAAAACTGTAACTATAAAACAATCACATATAACAATAAAATATAATAATAGAAAATCACATTTTCCCTACGAGCTTCATATCGGATCACAACGAAAATAAAAAAATGTCAACTTAAATTATAATTTATTAAATAATTTTTAGTTAAACTTGATAGAAATAGCTAAACAACAAACAATAATTTCATATCAATAAAATATAATGATTGAAAATTAAATCATTTGTTCCTAATATTTATATTGAGGTGAAATACAAATATCGGGAAGAACGGTTGAGAAGTAAAAGGGATAACGGCTTCTTATAGTGCATACAATAGTCTACACTCTACAGCAACTAAAATGAATATAAATGTTCCATACTGAGTGCGGAAAAGTATTACTTTGCGCACGCAAATGAGTGCGGAAAAGTACTAATTTGCGCGCTTGTAGGAAAAAATATATACCTCATTGGTAGTAAAAAATATTATTATCACGAGACCTGGGTAATACCGATATTCTTCACTACCTTGGTGTATAAATAAATATTATTCCATGTGCCCTTTTGGAAAGTTGGTGAGCTTACACACAAATATATATTTTAAATATCTACTCGAATGTCAGTATGTACTCCCCAAATACTTACTTTTCCGCACTAAGTGCAGAACAAAGTTTTATAAAAGTGACCCCTCCAACACTAAAACGAGTGGACTTTTCCGCACGCTAGTAGAAAAAATAGTTATGTTTTACCTACTAATTCTCTGCAACAAGACAACTCCATCATAATTTCGTAATTGATGTATTTACAGTTTCCCAAGGACAGATGGGTCAGACTATTTGAATTTGCACCTAAATATCTGTAAAATTGAAATCATGAAATTATACAAAATTGATAACTGCACAGCTCGATCATTATGAATTTATGAATATTGAATTTTATATAATAAATGAAAGATGTGACTCACATAGCTAATTGTTGATCAAAACCGTCAATATCATTTCCGCACCATGATAAATCTAGTTTCTTAAGAGTTTTGCATTTCTTCATGAAATACTGAAGTGTATCACAATTTACCAGGTACCAATAAAACTGAAAACAAATACATATACTCTGAATATCAAATTAACTACTCAAATCGAAGGAATTGATCTGATTGTTATAAATGTGTTGCACAAGGGATGTTAGGACCGTTTTAATTCCTGTTATACCAGGTAATTCAAATTCGAGGGCCACCATCATTGGGATCTCGGAAACTATGAGAGATAGGAAGATGGAAAAATTAGGGCAAAGTTGCGAATTTATATTATGTATGACTAAAACAGAGATGTCGAGAAAATTTTCAAATTCCGAGTGTTTCCAAAAAAAATAGAAATTTTGGTAAATCATTTTTATTTTTTCTGACTTTATTTGTTGGAGAATATTGAAATTGAGAGCACATTCACATTGCCACTTTTTCCCTGCTATAAGTTTTTTTTCGCATATCTCCAGAAATACTCGGAATTCAAAAATAGTTATTTATTACACAAGGGAAAAATGTAGTAGATTTCAGCTACCTTCGGTACGCGTCGGGAGACAAAAAATCGTGAGCTAAAATCTAATATTTTTCCCGTGTATAATACACTATTTTTTTCTGTGACAGAAGAAATGACGAATCAATATTGAGAAGATATTACATTATTTTGAAATCTAAAAATCATCGACGTGAAATTTTAAGTTTTTAACAGTAGGGACACTTGCGTTGTAGGCATCTTTATCATTCTTTTGAAGTAATCAAATATCTGATGTCACTTCTGTCAGTCTAATTCTGTGATTTGATTTGAATTTAGTGGTTGTGTAGTAATATACGTAACCGCGATTACCGCGAAGTCGAATGGAAGATAAAAGGACTTGCAGTTCTTTCTCGGAGACGGTATTATTGACTCATTTTTCCGAACTATAGCACAACAAAAGCCATCAACAGTGTAAGCCATCAACAGTGTATATATATATATATGTGATATATATCCGGGAAAAAAGAACTCACTTTTTTCACACGGGAAAAAAGTAATTTAGGAAAAGTGACATTTTATAACCTGCCAACAAAGATGAAATGCCAAACTTTTTTCTCGTCACAGAAAAAAATATTTTTTTCAACGCCATATTTCAACTCACATATATGCGCAACTTTGCCCTAATCTAACCATCTTCATATCTCCTATAGTTTCCCGGCCCTCGAATTCGAATTCCAATGTATAAATGATCATGAATCCATTCAATTACCTATTTAATTTATAGTCAATCATCACCTATTAATGATATCTGCAATGAGAAATATGTTCCTTGAGTCGTTTCTCAATATTCCTGCAAGTTTGCCCAATATATATGATACATATACATTGTTGCATGAGATTGAATAGGTACCACAATCTGCATACCAAAGAGGTCCAGACGTTGAAAATCCGAATATACATATTTCCAAGTATTTCACATTCCATATTATTTCAAGATTATTCACATAATGAGAAATTCTTATCATAAAATCACCCAGGAAATTACCTACCTGCCTTTTATGTTATCTGGAATGAAAAATCGAAATAATCTGGCATGTTGATAAACAATATTTCCTATTCTCTCCTGCTGGGTGAATGTGTTATTTCCATATTTTTTGCTACATTTCACCTTTTGAAAGTTATCATACTGAGGAATACAAAAATGCAATTTTATGAATGATTGGTGTTTGTGAAATTACATAATACAGTAATCTTACCTTCAAACTCAAGTTTTGGTAAAGAAAAGAATCAGCAGAAGCTTCATTCCATCTTTTGTTCACTTGGGCACACCTACTCAGAGACTTCAAATCTAAATACTGAAATATGTGGATGATAACTTCATACTGAAAAGAAAAAAATCCGTTCACTAGCTCTTTTACTGAGAGTAGAATTATTTTCAGTTTTCAATTTCAACATTTTCAGTTACAGTATGATCTTAACTAGCATCATAAATTAATGCATATTCCAAATTTTTCAGAAAAATTTCTAATAACTGGATCACTCACTGGTAAACATGATATTGAATCTCCACAATCCCCCTCAGTACAATTTTCCTCAGGACCAGAGTACTCAATTGCAGCATTGTCTATTTGAAAATGGTCCACCAAATCTTTTTGCATAATATTAAATAACAGATTACTTTTTGGTTGGTACCCTCCTAACAAAACAGCATCTATGGAACAGTGATATTCTAGGTGGCTCTGATTAAACTCCAAGCGCACAACACTAAAAGAACATTTAATAGTTATTATTATTATTATTGTAACGTCTTGGGTTACTTAATTATATTAATGATTGAAATACCGATTCGGTGGACATTACTTTATTGTCACTTATTACTATTATCACAGCATGATGTTGATAGTTCGACAGCCCGGGCAAGAGAGAGAGTTTTCTCCTATGTCGTCTAAATGTAATGTATGCGCATGTGCGCCTATTCCTTATATCGTCACAATTATTACATACATATTGCATTGAAATCATACTAATAATCATTGAAATAAATACTTGGGTTGTTATCCTTCTTCTGTAGTGTTCAATAAAATATTGAATCATTTATGAATCAAGTGGGCAAGTGCAAATCATTTTTCTTTCAGTCTAAAGATCCAATGATAAAGAATATCATGAATTTCCACTCACTTTATCAAACGGTTTATCAGCTTTATTTGAGGATGAAATATTCTGGAGTGATGTGGAGTTGATTGAGGCAAACCTTCCCACAGCAGAATCCATTGCAGTTCAGATTTGCTGGACAATTTTCCCCAAATTCGTACAACAGCTCCAGGATTGTATATTTCATAAATACAAATGTCTCTTGGCACAACAGCACCATCAAATCTACAATTGAAAATCCTTGAAACTGAGAAACTTCTCAAACAATCACTGAATCTTATTCTATTTATTTCAGGAGTCCTACAATTATTTCATCACCCTTTCTTACTCTAAAGTGATGTAATCTTCAGCTCCAAGAGGGTCAAAATCTTGGAGTGAATAGTTCCATTGATAGCCTTCACTTTTCTTCCACCACTTTCCGTAAGACCTCTTCAAACCACAAACCAAAGTTAAGATTTGCCTTCAACATGTTTGACATTATACTCACTAGACAATAAGCTTCTGGAAAATCTCCATAAGCAGGGTATTTTTCGTATTTTCCGACTAGATTACTAGGAGAATAATAGTAACTGTTGGAATAGTTGTATCTGGAAGTATAATCTAGAACCTTGTACACATAATACTCTGATTGTGTCATGTCCAGAAGGTTTTCGATAAGTTCATATTTATCACTGGTTTTTTCCATTGTCGCATCGAATAGGTGCATTTGACCTAATTCGATTTGAGAATTGTTATAATCGTCAAATTAGATCACTGATAATTAAATTAAAAAAGTACCCGCAACAAGCAATGAAAATGAAAATACCTCAAATCAGCTGATTTTATTTATTTACATGTGTCATTTATAGATTATAGTCAGCTGTTCAACTGACAAATGACAAGTGACATATTTCACCAAAGAGGGCACTGGGCATAGAACAAGACACGAAACAATGACGGCTAGATATCTAGACTGTCTGGCGGTATAATAACATTGGATGAGTGGAACTTCGGTGGGGGAACAATGTAAAGTTGGAACGCAACTGAGGTTGTATGAATGTGTGTGAATGCCGCAATTATTTGAAAATGAAATCAGATCAAAAAGGTTGCAGAAAACTCTGATATAACATCACTAATTACTATGAAAGGTTACTGCAATATTGAATGAATGTTAATTTGCTCAGTGAAATCCTATCGTTGGGAAGTTGCACAAGAAGCTGAATCAAATGGTGTATTTTTCATTTTCCCGCATGAATTTTCATTAAAGAATTTCTGATTTTGAATTTGAGGTTTCATGCATTTGGATAGGCAAAAATGGAATGTTTTCAGTTTTCCCAATAACGAAAATTATCACGAACCACCCAGCAACCCAGCATAATTTTTTTGAAATTTAGTACACAAACTCACCTATCAGTCACGAGTGTGAAATCCAGGCCCGGGTTAACGAAAATTGATCATATTCTGCACCCAAAACAAGCGCCCAGTATTTTCGAATTTCCAAAACCAGCTTTCATGTTAGAAAAGTTGACAAAATTCTGGATCGATTTGTGTGTACTCTTACTTTGTATTATTATTAGTAGAAGATCCGAACCTAAATCGACCTTCACCGAGCTGATAATAGAACGAAATATATTTTATCATGAATTTAGTATATTAAAAAACATATTAAAAATGGGTTTGCTAAAAAAATCCTGGGCAGACTATTTTTAATTATTTTTCGAAAAATGATTTTTGATTAAATGTTGCAACATCAGGATAATAAAAAAAATTTGTCCTGACTGAAAGTATGAAACGTATAGAATGTGCAGCCGTTGGGTTGTCTACTATTTACCTGGGCGAACTACTGGGTTGTCAGGTAAACACAGGTATATCGATGCCAGTTACTTTCACTGGATTGGATAATTAAAATAAATTTATATCATCATAAGCGCTGTTTAATTGCGAACACGTTGATATAGGGTTGTCTGCGAAAATTCCGGTCCTATTAGGGGTTTGCGAATTTTAAAGATTTTAATTTCAACGCGCGTGGAAGTGTATGACAGAGAGATCCGAGGTAAAGTATACTGTGTAATAATAAAGGACCCAACATCGCAGTCGCTTGTGATGGGACCCTGAATAGTATAGAAAGTGCGCATGCTCGGTGTGTAAACTATGGAGGGTAGAGGTACCTCTACTACCCTTCATATAGTAAACAGTTTTCGATGCAATATAATATTATAAGTCATTAAGCTACTCCGAAATAACACGCACTGTTTACTATATGAAGGATAGTAGAGGTACCTCTACCCTCCATAGTTTACATACCGAGCATGCGCACTTTCTACTATTCAGGGTCTCATCACAAGCGACTGCGATGTTGGGTCCTTTATTATTACACAGTATACTTACCTCGGATCTCTCTGTCACACACTTCCACGCGCGTTGAAATTAAAATCTTTAAAATTCGCAAACCCCTAATAGGACCGGAATTTTCGCAGACAACCTATATCAACGTGTTCGCAATTAAACAGCGCTTATGATGATAAAAACTTTTTTTAATTATCCAATCCAGTGAAAGTTACTGGCATCGATATACCTGTGTTTTCCTGACAACCCAGTAGTTCGCCCAGGTAAATAGTAGACAACCCAACGGCTGCACATTCTATACGTTTTATACTTTCAGTCAGGACAATTTTTTTTTATTATCCTGATGTTGCATTATTTAATTAAAAATCATTTTTCGAAAAATAATTAAAAATAGTCTGCCCAGGATTTTTTTAGCAAACCCATTTTTAATATGTTTTCTAAAATACTAAATTCATGATAAAATATATTTCGTTCTATTATCAGCTCGGTGAAGGTCGATTTAGGTTCGGATCTTAGACTATATAATTTTATGAATTAATGGAATGTTAATTCCCTAATTCATCGAGGTTACAATAATAGCATGCGAGAAAATGAAAATTACACCATTCGATTCAGCTCTTCGTGTACTGTGCAAATATGTGAGCGGATTTTGGAAATTCGTAATAATTACGATGTGTTCTTTTTGGGGTCCAGAAATATGATAAATGTTCGCTAATCCAGACCTGGATTTTTCTCGTGACTGATAGTAGAAGAAGAAGGAATCATCATTGTGTACCAAATTCCAAAAGAATATACTGGGTGGTTCGTAAGTTATGTCGTCACAATAAAGGATCGAACAATATTGATAAAACACCGTATATCCCGGATATAAAACTTGTGAATCCCTACGAATATGGTAAATTCAGAACCACCCTCATATGCTCTGCCCACCGTTGAAGGTTTTCCGTTTCCCAATGTGACACCCTGTATAACTCGACGTGATGGATCACCCTGAATATTCAAATTTTCCTCATGAATGTGACAAATCGAAAATTTAAATCGACTTGTTTCAGGAGATTATTAAATTATTTTTTTACGATAGCATTGAATTCAACGGACGCACTGCGTATACAAATCCTATGTGTGATATACATTTTTGAATTCAACTCTCCATGGAGATCACAAAATTTGAATATTTTATAGTTTGAAATAATTGTCCCGGTTGTAATAAGTCAAACGTGGATCACCCTGTATATTGAGTGAATTTTTTCTTGAGAATGTGGCAAATTGAAAATAAAAGTCGACCTGTTTCAGGGGATCCCTCAGGAATGGATAGTTTGGCTGAAAATTAATTTATTCAGTACCTATTTGACGAGAGGTACCCGTTCAACATGTTGGTTGTGAAAACATTGTATCATATTATTGTATTTCTCCGCCCTATACGATTTCAACAGTTCCATAATATTTGCAGTAAAGCAGTTCTGATAACTTTTATAGAAGATGAATAATTTCTAGTTGGGGTACCTACTCTAGACAGTCTCGATGAACTAAAAATAATCACCGACAATCCACTATAAATAAATCATTGGGAAAACTTGGTAGACACCTTATGGCAATACTAGTGCCAGATTTCCGTACCTAAGCAATTCAATTTGTTGGAAAATGATGGAAAATTCCCACAAAGAGTATACGGCCATTTGTAGTGAACGAACATTACAATCGAACAGCAATGGTTTCTTTATGGACTTTGTACGAATAGTTGTTGAAAATGCCGGAGGCAAATGGATCAACACGGAGTTCGGAAAATTGAAAACTGATAGACAAAGAATCAGATATGTATATGAATCCGAAAAGGTACAGTAACAACTTCGTAAAATTTTTAAAATGCCAGAGAGTTTTGCGAAACTCCAGACCCTACTTTTTCCGATGTCAACTAAGAATACTAAGATTCAAGAATAATGAAACAATGATTATGCATGGAAATCGTCATATAGGTACTTTGAACGTGATTGTTTCGAAAACCAAAATGAATTGTTTATTATCTGAAATCATAACTATTGAATAAGTCTGTTAACTCAATCCTACACTGTTATACAATGCCTATTCAATCTTCTGAAAATGCAAACATATAGGTACAACGAAAAATCATATTAATGGAAACAGCGTATTGGTATGGTATTCAATCATTTCAATCCATAAAAATCTAAGAGAATCATTTCGAGATACGAGATATAAAATCAACCCCCATGATACATTATGAGAGAAACGATAGAAAAAATGTTGGACAAAATAGGTCTCCGAAATATGAGAACGGAATTGAAATCAAATATATTTTCACAAATTTGAATTGAATAGTTTCATTACCAACAAAACTGTATTGTTATTGTTATTTTTAGACCAAATCACAAGTAACCAAGGTACTGTCGAATGTCCAAGAAATATATAGACAAAAAAATGCAGGAGTGTCCCAAGCAAAGAGGCTTGAAGCTGAAAAGGCTTTCTCGAATGGCGATTTGAAGGCATCGTTACTTTTGTACAGTCAAAGTATACTAAGGTCACCGAAAACGAGTGAGTTTATTATGAAGGTTATCAAGTCACCAATGTTAATCAAGTTATCAAGAAGATGTTAGAGTCCTCTGTGGTTGAATGAATCATAATAGGAGAAACCCATGATAGTAAAGTTCATTCCCAGCGAGCACAAAAACATCTCAGAGATGTTAAAAGTACGAGATTTCGAGACATTGAACCTCCACTGCGATGTTCTGTTCACACATGAATAGAACTATTATAGAACAGCCAATGTCCGCCGCAGGCGGCAATTATCGAGATGTCCTTGATATGTCACAAAACTACCTTCTCCCTAGTTCTTTTTAAAGCCTTTTCATGGACACAACAGAACATTTTCAACGCGTCTTGCGCACATTGAATCGCTGTAAAAAAACCATTTTCGAGGTACTTTTCTGAAGCCTTTTGTCAAAATGAACTTTTGCATTAGGATTCCATTTCGCTTGAATGAAAAAATGCATTAAAAATAGATTGAACATAAAAATATTTTCTTGATATGAAATTACCTTCTTAATCGGTTTCTGAGTAGTGCTTACTACACACAGACATATAATTGGAAATAGGTTTCCCATCTTTTTGAAATGTTCTCCACAATGCATAATTTTGCAACTGCGGAGAAGCTGTGTATTGAAAAATTCGTACTTTTATATATTGATTACACTGAGGCACCGAACAACACATCTTGCATCTGATGGTCATTATTGCAAACTAAATAAGTCTTCTAACACAATAAACTTCACCAAATTCCTTTCTGTTCGTTAGCAGCGTGATGTAAGCGTGACACGCTGGAAACGCGAATGCCAATTGCGAACAAGAAGAACAAAATCGAAAATGAATCAGAATTCATCGTATTGTGACGTAAGCATAAAACGTTGTGGTGGGGCAAACAAAGAAAGGGCACAAAAGAACAAAAACAATACATTCAATATCCTTCTAAAACCTCTTTGGGAAGTGCATATTACGCTCCAAAAAAAATCCTCATGCCTACATTTCTAAAACATCCCAAAACATCCCAGTGATACCTCTCAGTAGGCAAACAAAGAAATGCCACAGAAGAACAAAAACAATACTTCAATATCCTTCAAAGACCTCTTTGGTCAGTGCATAATATTACGTCTCAAAATAACATCTTCATGCCAACACTTTCAAAACATCCCAAAACATCCCAGGGATGTTTGTGCTCGCTGGGATGACTATACATATTTTTCCTGGAAAATTTCCAGTTCATAAAAATTGAATGTTGTCTCACTTCTCATGGAAGCACCGCCGTATCTCACGTAATTATTGAGGTAGGGTTCTGAAATTTGCAGGAGGAAGCGAAAAGGACGTCCTGATTTCCAACCTATCTTGCCTCTTTATATCATTTTTGTGGATGGTTCTATGGGCGTTGGCGAGCAGTGTTTATCACTGTAGACGACTCCACCTGATCATAGTGTGTATTTTCAGTATATCTACCGCTCTTGCTAATTTCAGAATCCTAACTTACATGGGTGCTTCCATGAGAAGTGAGACATACTGTATAATGTTCATCTATTTAGCCAATTCTGATCTTCATATCTCTTCATCTGAAGTTTAAGCTTCAAAATGAGCCTGAGATTCCAAAAATCGGTTGACGAGGAAAAAAGTTATGCCTGCAAAACCAAAAAGTTAATTTTTTGAGATCACTCTGTAAATATAAAAGATAAGGAGACAACTCGAGAACTGTTTCAAGATAATAATATCACCTACATGCCTCTACTATCAATGTTGAAAAAAAAAGTGTCTCTTCATTTGGGAGACTTTTGAAATTTCCGAAATTTTGCACAGTTTCAGGTAACACCCTGTAGCGATTTTATGTGAAGAGCCTTATGATTTAAGGAATTACGAGATTATAGCTGGAAGACTGTGCTAGCGAACAGTGTGATCCGAATTCAAATCGTTCAAAGCAAAGTTATTCATTTTTCAACAGAGGCAAAAGCATGTTTTTTCAGTTCTTCAACAACTTTTTTATTTAGGCGAAAACAGCCATTTTGACTCTGGGGGAACATTAGCCCTAGGTCTTTGGGGACGCTCCAAGGTACTCCTGGCGCTCCAAGAGTATCCTCTGTCTCTCAACGATATACAGCAGGCTCTGAAAGAAAATCTGCCGACCGTTTACAAGGCGGAGGCGTTCTGGAAAATGGCCATTTGTTATAAACATCTGCAGGAGGAGAACAGAGCTAGAGTGTCGTTCGATTTGGCTCAGAAATTGCTGGGAAGCAACGAGAAACTGCTAGGAATGTTAGAAAAGGACAGGAACGATGATATTCAAAATTACGATAACAATAAAGGTACTTATATTCAGTTTGATTGGGAAACAGTTGGGAAATATTTTGAGTCATAGCTAACGAATCATCTTGTATAATTTCTTGATATTTACCGCACATGTATTCCTTCCACTATACTAAATCGACTTGCATACTATTTAGAAAAAATCAGGTTTGGATCAACAAAATTTCAATAAATTGATATGTGATCTGAACAACACCCCGTATTATCGAATTTTCGAAAACTAATTTGGATAATTTATTTTGAATTTCACATAATTATTGGATCATTAGAATACTTTTAGGTACACAATCTCATTGCAATTAATAATCATTGCCTGCATTCATTAAAAAAAAATCGAATGTTGTAATTACAGGTTATTCATATCTTCTTTTTTCATTATCAAAGACCCTGAATTTCATTGTTTTTTCAAATCATCCAGGAACCATGGAAATGCCCACATAAAATTTCAACGTCAATCGGGTCAGCCGTTAAAAGTTATGTGAAATAGATCTTAGTGGTGGAAGAAATTTTCTATATCGGTCCAAACAAACAAACAATTGAATTTAAATCGGCTAAGATTATGTTTCAAGAGACACCCTGTGGATAAAGAAACATGGCATTTAATCAGACTATACATTTTCCCCAGTTGAAACATTTTTTTTAATCAAAATTTTACATCCTCTGATGGTATGAGATGTGAACTCGGATTTCGAACATCAACATCAGCCATTTTGTTTTTGATGTGACGAGCTTGAAACTTGGAAATAACAGGGACATTTTCTTTTTGCTCAGAAAGAACTTCAAAATATGTAAGATGGTTGAAAATAATATGTTGAGAAATGTCTGGACCTGTGAAATGTTAGAGTGTTCTCCAGGTATCAGAATGGAAGTAATGATTATTCATTGCGATGAAAATAAGCACATAAGAATATTTTCAATATTTATTATGGGAACTACAATTTAAATTCCACTTTCAATCATCCAGGTCCCGAAGAAAACATAATTGAGTTCAAAATTCGGGTTGTTGAATTGCGGGAAAATGAAAAAAATACTATACCCTGTACACTACTTTGTAGATTTTGAGGAAGGATGTACTCTACAAAAAGTATCATCATACAGGATGATTCCCCCAAGTGATTAATCAGAAGGTTTAAACGTAACAACTAATATATCAGGTTAGCAACGTCTCTTTCTTAGTTCTAAATTATTATAAACATCTTATGAATCAGTTAGGTGAGTTGCCGTGTATGGGGATTTTTCTAACAAAAACCAACTGTGTGGATTCATATTCATATCGCTTGAGGCCAACCGGCGACGATTTGCATCATCAACGACAATCTCTTAAATGATTAAATTTCACTAATTTCAGTAACTGAAAAAAACGGATCGACTCGTCAAACACGATCATGGGCATCGAAAAAAATCACGTTCAAAGAGAAAGAAGGCCTCGGAAGATTTGCAGTCGCCAAAAAGGACATCAAAACTGGCGAAGACCTGGTTGTGGAACAACCTTACGTCGCGTGTTTGTTGCCTGACATGTTTGGGACACACTGTCATCATTGTTTTGAAAGGTAGGTAAAATCTGGTAAAAGTTATTTTTCTGCAACCGACACAAAAGTCGTCCATTTTGATACCAAAATTAACTCTTAAATTGACGTTTCTATTACTGACACAAAAATAGGTATGTTTTGCTAGGCAACATATTTAGTTCCTAGGAGCTAAAGTTGAATTTTAGTTCCTAGGAGCTATAGTTGAACTTTAGCTCCTAGGAACTAAAAATGAATTACTGGACGTCATCAAGAATAAACAACATTGTGACGGTTGGTTATTTGGGTTGAGACGCATACCTGATTTGTTTCCGATTTCAGCAGATTTGGCATTTCATACCCATGCTGGAGATATAAATACACCTTATTATAGTTTAGTATTGGAATTATAAACATCTCAGTTGAGTATTTTTGTTTTAATCAGGGAAGCCTTCAGAATTCAAATACTTGCTTGATCTGTATTTCATTCGTTATTCTCGGGATGGATAACTTGTTTTTGAATAATCACGGCAAGCAATAGTTTTTTTGTCTCAAACAACGATATTGTTTAGCTTCATTTGATTATCAAGTCAAACACAGTGTAGTATGCCAGTATGGAATGGAATAAATAATCACTATTATCATTGTTGATATGCTCACTAACCTAACATTTTCCACGTCTTGTTCCTATAGCTGGCACTGGCGCGGTATTTGCCATTAGAGCACTTGGTCCATACACAAATATGTCACTCTGTGGTTGTAATTATATTGAAACTACAATTCGAACATCCTAGAAAACTTAACCTGCTGCACGGCATTGGTGGTTACTTCACAAATTTATTTGAGTTTATTGTTTCGGTTGCAGAAAAAATAGCATGTTTCATTCGGATCAAAAGTGGCTTTGTTCTACTCGCAAATTTTGCTTTCGCTCGGCTTCGCTAAAAGCTCCGCCTCGCAAATGCAAAATTCGCTTGTCAAACAAAGTGTCACTTTTGATCCTAATAAAACAATCTACTATTTTTTACAAACGGCATAGAAAGTAGCTTTTCTATGACTTAACAGGCAGCAAAAGGGCACTTCCTCTGTCTAGGCAGAAAAAGTTTGCTGATTTGCAACGTTCCAAGTAATCTGAATGAAATTGGTGATCAAAATCATTGACACTGACATTGGGTGAACACAATATTTCATTAAAAGAATTTGGAGAAAAATAGTTATTTTTGTATCTAGAGCGCGAAATGCTACTTTGGTGATCGAGATCTGATTTTTTTAACGAGGCGTAGCCGAGTTAAAAAAATAGTCGAGATGACCAAAGTATTTCGCGCTCGAGTTGCAAACAACATTTTTTCTACAAACGTCAAAAAATATAGTTCTAAAGTAAAAATATGCTAAGCTTGATATAAAAAATAGTGTTGAACTGGCTTAAAAGGCTTTCCCCTATCCTCCCTAGGTACGCACGATGTTCCACGATCATAATAGGAATTTCCATTCGTGCGCTCGAAGAGATAAAACAAGGTTATTGCTGAACATTCAGAAATGAATGATTTCGTAGATGTTTGCTCGATTGAGGACCATGAAGTTGAAATATAAATATTTCATATATTTTACATAACAATGCGCGAAGTAGGTATACTTCGCGCACTGTTTTACTTCGCGCATTGTTTTGTGCAAGGTATCATGGTAACGTAGGAAACTGAAAAAAAGCGTCACTTCGCGATTTGTTTTCAATGCGCGAACCTTGTCATTTTTTGACGTTTGTAGAAAAAATATATTTTTCACATGGCAGCAATGTAGATTGACTGCCTGAGCTGGATTCACTTCTACAACTTTGCTGACTAGTAGAACAAATAACTATATTTACGATCGAAAAACCGACTATTTCCGAAGACATTACTATTTGTCCGTAGACAAAAACTTTCCGTTCGCGAACACTTGTTTGTAATTTCTAATCTTGAAAGGTAATTTTATGTGTCTGAAGACGGCCGTTGAGCCGAAACTAGTCACGAACATGATTTGTTAATATAATTCATGTGGTCGACAGACTTTGTGTTTTACTGTTTTTTCTTTGAACTCATTATCAAAACTCGTTCGCCTTTAGAACGGCAAAACTTTAGAATTCTTTGCCAATGGAAGTATTTTCAAGAATTTTCAATCTCCGAGAGTTCAAATAAAATCCAACACCTATATAGGGTGAGTCATGAGGAACTGTACAGTTTGTCCAGTTTTCGATGCTTTTGGGTGATATCTCTGTTATCTTTGGAGATAGAACCTTACGGTTTTTGCGGTCCTGTGCCACTTTTCTATGAAATTCGAGATGGCTTTATCAGATTTTGCATAACTGTTTCTGTTTTTGAGATACAGGGCGATTTTGAAAATTTATACATTCTTGATCCACTCTATAACCACGAAGTTTCTCAGCGAAAATGTCAAATTAAAATCTCAGCCCATAGAGAATTTCATGCAGAATCCAGTGGCACACAAAAAAATTTTTTTCGGGGCGTGGTTTTGGAGATACCAGTCAAACTTATGATTTTTCAAATGGAACACACTGTATTTTATCAGCTCATTAAATTCCTATTTTTTTTTCTTTTCAGAATGATATATATATGAATGAATATAAAAATTTCAAACATGCTCCAAAATCACTAAAACATTGAATTTTAAACAGATTGGATGTATTTTTCATATAAAAGAAGTTCCAATCGAACAAATATTTTCTTGGATTTTTTCATGAACAGGACAAAAACAATACCAACACTAATTAACTAACAAAACACAAAACTTAGTTACCTAATAGCAACAAATAAATAGTAATAAAAACTTCATAATTCAGAATAAGTATCTAATTAAATATTTACTATGTAAAACAATTGAATTTTGAAATTATTCAGTAACTTATTCAACGAGTTGTTGAAGTCCATTTTTCCTCATACACTGTCTCAATACGTCTTTTGCATTCAAAATCATTAAAGGATGTCTTTGTAATATCTGGAAATCTGCCTCTGTTGTTGCAAGTTCTTTTGGATTGTTGTGCGTCTTACTGTATTAAAGACGTATTGAGAAGGAAAATGGACATCAATTTGAACAATTCAATGAATAAGTTACTGAATAGTTTCGAAATTCGATTGTTTTAGTAAATATATAATCAGGTGCTTATTCTACATTATGAACTTTTTATGACTATTTATTTGTTGCTTTCTTACCTGACTTCTGTGTTTTGTTAGTAAATTAGTGTTGTTTTTGTCGTCTACATGGAAAAATCAATAAGAATATTCCTTCAATTGGAACTTGTTTCATATGAAAAATCCATAGCCCACTATTAAAATTCAATGTTTTAGTGATTTTTGAGCATTTTTGAAAACTTTTAATCTATACATCATATATCATTTTAAAGTAAAAGAAAAGGAATTTAATGAGCTCATAAAATACAGGGTTTTCGATTTAAAAAATCATAAGTTTGAGTGTTATTTCCAAAACGTATGGTATACCCGAAAAGAAAATTGAGTGCGCCACTGGATTCTGCGTTCAATTTCCTAAGGGCTAAGATTTTAATTTGACATTTTCGCAAAGAAATTTCGTAGATATAGAGGGGGTTCGAAAAGTATAAATTTTGAAAATCACCCTGTATCTCATAAAAGGAAACATGCAAAATCTGACTAGGCCATCTTTACTTTCAAAAAAATTATCGTTCTTTGGAAAATTCTCTGAAAGTGTGAGAAGAATTTTAAACATTTATTTTTGATGCTTGTTTGTGTGCTTTGGGAATTTCCTGTCCAGTTTACAAAAACCATATACAGGATGAACTTTTTGATGAAAAACCATTGAAATTTTTCAAAAACGGTCCTGGATTTTCCCGATTCTGAATAGGTCAGTCGATTAGGGTTTAGTAAAGGAATATTCCATGAAAAAATCAGACGAATCGAAGGAGCTGTTGAAAAGTTATGACCAAAAGATGTTTTAGCCAAATCTCATAGTCCATCTTATACAGGGTGGCATTGAAAGAAGTGCAAATATTTCAAACACTGAGAAAGCTCGACGTGTACTATCGAATGGCACTAATAAAAAAAATTTAGAGATCAAAATGAAATTTGAGGTTAGACCCCTTTTTCCACCAAAAGTTCTAAACTGTAGCAAATCTGACGTCACCTCTGTTCAAATTTCCATGCGGTAGGCACAATATCACGCGGAGTTCAATGATTTAAATTGTTTTCAAGTGAAGTACTTGATTTTATTCTCGTATTTTGTTCAAATTTTGAGATGAAAGGACCCCGCACGAAAACACGGTAGATTGGCTCTCGGTCGAATTGGCTGAAATTTAACTATGTTATTGTGGGATGGCTCATTAGAAAAATATGTGAGTTTGAAAAGTTTTGTGTATATGTTTAGTTTCTGAGATATAAACCTACAAAGTTCGTAAAAACGTCGTATCGGGGTAGGATTGACGAAGAAAAAAACTGTTTTTTTTTAGTATAAATAACACGAAATAAGCTAGAAAATGTATTGATCGAAAATCAAATACATGTCTAGTTATGATCACATGAATTATATTGAATCAGGCGGTGTATACGAGGCACGGTAAAAAAATTCATTTTCCGGAAAAAAAATTCGAGTACTATTCCAACACCAACAAGTTATATTTTGGTGAGACATTATAGTTTCATTTTATTGTAGGCTTCGGAAACGTATTTTGATTCTTGATAACTATCTCTGTTCGAAATATGAATTCTTTGAATTTTGTGTTATACCCCTTTTTGAAAACAATTGAAAGCTTGTTTTTGATCACAAAGAAAGAGATTGATTGATACTGTTGATTGAATGAAAGCTGAGGAAACTCACTAGCGAATTCAGTTGTTCAATATTGCCTCCCATTGAGATACAGGGTGTGTTAGATTTTGTTGAAGATTATTTCACATGTTTCAATTGAATATCTCGAAAATATTTCCGTTAATTTGGATCTCATTTTACACATACTATTTTGAATATGTTGACTATCATAATATGCAAAAAGTTTCAATTTTTCATGTTTCGTTTCTGAGATATCAATTTTTGAGTAATATCCGAGGTAATAACCCTATAATACTTGTAATACTGTAAACTCAAAAATGCATATCTCAGAAACGAAACATAAAAAAATTGAAAAACTTTTTGCATATGATAGTCAACATATTCGAAATAGTGTGTGTAAAATGAGATTCAAATTAACGGAACTGTTTTCGAGATATTCAATTGAAACATGTTAAATAATCTTCAACAAAATCTAACACACCCTGTATCTAAATGGAAGGCAATATTGAACAACTGAATTCGCTAGTAAGTTTTCTCAACTTTCATTCAACCAACAGTATAAATCAATCCCTCTCTTTGTGATCAAAAACAAGCTGTCAATTGTTTTCAAAAAGGGGTGTAACATAAAATTCTAAAAATTCATATTTAGAACAGAGATAGTTATCAAGAATCAAAATACGTTTTCGAAGCCTACAATAGACTAAAACTATAATGTCCCACCAAAATATAACTTGTTGTTTTTGGAATAGTGCTCGATTTTTTTTTCCGAAAAATGAATTTTTTGACCGTGCCTCGTATACACCCTGATTTACTATAATCCATGTGATTATAACTAGACATGTTTATGAGTTTCTATCAATACATTTTCTAGCTTATTTTGTTTCATTCATACTAAAAAAACAGTTTTTTTCTTTGTCAATCCTACCCCGATACGACGTTTTTACGAACTTTGTCGGCTTATATCTCAGAAACTAAACATACAAAGTTTTTCAAACTCACATATATTTCTGATGAGCCATCCCACAATAACATATAGTCAAATTTCAGCCAATTCGACCGAGAGCCAATTTCCCGTGTTTTCGTGCGGGGTCCTTTCTCGTTAATCAAAAGAATTAGAAAAAATCTGAAATCATGGAATATTCCTTAGACTGTATCATATTAATGTGCTGATATGTGCACTAATTTCAAAAACACTTTGTATATTGTCAAAGAAGAGAAGAAGAATCTTAATGATGGTAATTAGGTATTTCCCTCAAGGGCCTCTATTCGTGGTAGGAGTATGTACCTTCTGTCGCTATCCTCTAGGTACGCACAACATGCTCTTAGAACATAATAGGAATTCCCTTTCGTGCGCTCCAAGAGATGAAAAAAATTAAAATTCACATTTATTTTTCCCCAACAGATTGAAAGCCCCAATCGGTTGTCCAGACTGTTCCAACGTAGCTTTTTGCTCTGCAATTTGCAAAGAGGCATCTTGCAACAGCTACCATCGGCACGAGTGCAAATATTTGGACTTGCTGATCGGCTCAGGAATGAGCGTGCTCGCTCACGCCGCCCTCAGAATGGTGACTCAGAACGAGCTGGCCAGGTGCCTGGAGATATACGAGGACAGGTCGAAAGAGAAGGTTCGGTTTAGTTCAGTTTAGTTCATCTTCATTCTTCACATACACGGAAAAAAAGGATTTGTTGCATCAACAAATTTATGCTTGAGTTATTTCTGTTGGACTGAGCAATCAAGAATGTAGTTTAATTGAATCAATAGTATAATATCAATTCCATCAACAAAGTATATGGTTTTCTCAAAAACTAATTATGTCGATCCAAAATAATGTCGATGTTGAATCAACTATAAACATTTTGTTCATTAGATCCAATAATGATCATTTTGATGATAATATACCGGGTGACTAGTTATATTCTGACCCATTTCAACTGCTCATATCTCCGCCGGAACTATTCAAATTATCGTTGTGCGGTTTGGACTTCTCTATTTTGATATTCTTCAAGTTTTCTGACTGGTTCACCTTCTCACCTGAACTTCCGGTTCTACAGGAAACAAACAAGCCATTATTTGGGTATAGGTAGGCAACTTTGATAACATTGCATAATCTCATTAAACCATTCCACAAGCAGTAGTTGTTTCAGAGAGTTATAACTCTAATAGTTTCCTAGCAGAACATAACTTGTAATACAGTATTAGATAGAGAAAAGACCAGTCATTCTGAATGTGCAAAAATATACAGGGTAATTCAATGAAATAAAAAAGTTGCCCTATACCTGGATTATTGCTTGTTTGTTTCCGGTATAACCGGAAGTTCGAGTGAGAAGATGAACACGTCAAAAAAAACTTGAAAAACATCAAAATAGACTAGTCCAAACCGCACAACGATAACTTGAATGGTTTCAGAGATATGAGCATTTGAAATGGGTCAGAATATAACTGGTCACCCGGTATCTTTGAAACAACATACAAGTTTTCTTATTCCGATATAGCAATGAACTCGTTTCGAACGGTTCATTTGCTTGAATACAGCAACGAAATATGAAATATCAATAATGAAATATTCTGTTCTTTCTACATCAAGTTAAATTTTCGTCTCTAGATGGCGATCATTTCGCCTCGTCTATACCTGCCTCGAATTCATTATTTACGTGAAGCCTGATTCTTCGTGTTTGAAATATCAGATGAATATATTGAACTTGGGATGATTAGCAATCCGAAATAGTTTTGCACCTTCTGAGGAGAAGTAAAGACTGGAGATCTATGCTAGAAGTCGACTAGTTTCCTAGTTTAGTTCATTTTATTGATGGGGAATTTCGGAAAATTCCCGAATTAATACTGAATTTGGTTCAACAAAACAATTTGTCGAATAGAAATTCAGTTTCTCTTGAATCAACGAAATATTTCATCGAATCAACAATAGGAAAGCCTCAAAACTATATAACATGTTGATGTACCCAAATTTGGGAATGATTTTTCGAATGAATGAGAGTAAGGTACTCGTGACTACTCGTGACTACAAAATCATCGGAAATCATTTTGGAGATTCCCCCTGATAATATTCCGTACTCACCTACCTTAATTATTGACAATCAACAAAGGTATAATAGAGCGTAACTCATATATACTGATACATATTTCAAAATAGATATTTATTTATTTATTTATTCTCAGACAGGTAGAAAACCTTATTACATGAGAATCATAATGTATATAACAACAGTATCTATATGAACAGTCTTGGAGTATATCATTGCAAATATTCTACTAACTACAATAATTGGAATGATCATTTCAAATCACTGATGGCGCGAACACACTATAAAAACTGTTTATTCTAAATTAGAAAAATATGTTTTCAAACCATAATAAAATTTTGAGGGAGGGAGAACAAAGCTGACTTCTGACAATAGTAGGAAGTTGTTTGTTAATTTTATCATTGTTATAATAGGTGAACAGTTATTAGTTGATACAAATGGAACATCAAAGAATTGTACAAGCCGGGTCAATCGATTGGGAGATCTTCTTTTCAATACTGATCGGAGATAGGGGCAGTTATAATATTTTTTGTAGATTTTATAACACATTGTGACTATAATTGCTTGTCTTCTATTTTCTAGACTGGGTATTTCAAATTCACTTCTAAGTGCTACTGTTCTAACTATATTATAGTCCGGGTAAACTTTATATTTTTTATAATACAGATATCTCAGAAATCTGTTTTGAATTTTTTCCAAAATATTTTTGTTGATTAGCTGAGAGGGATGCCAGATTGAAGCGCCATATTCAAATTTAGGTCTTACTAGAGTATTATAAAGTGCAGTTATTGCTTTGGTGTCATTGAAATGTGCACTTTGTCTCATTACAAAGCCCATAGTCCGTAGTGCCTGCGATGCGATATGATTCAAATGTGGTTTATACGAGAGTGCGGAGTTATAATATATACCCAAATCTTTAACAGTCTCTACTCTGGATAACTGCATGTCGTTCATCGAGTAATCGTATAATATTTTAAATAATTTTCGGCTACAAGATAGTACGATACATTTGGATATATTAAATGGGAGTTCGTTTTTTACACTCCATCGGTGGACCCTATCAATATCTTCCTGTAATTTGACGCAGTCTTGCGGGCTTTCGATCTTTCTATACAATTTCAGATCATCTGCAAATAATAGGCACTCCGAATACTTTATATTATGCGTAAGGTCGTTGATGAATATTAGAAACAGTAGCGGGCCAAGGTTTGATCCTTGAGGGACTCCGGAGTTAGCGCGAAATTTCTCTGAACAGTTTCCTGCATATTTGACCCTGAAGTATCGGTTATTCAAGTAAGAGGCCAACAATTTGAGTGCTTGGAGATCAGCGCCATATTTATGGAACTTTTGCAGTATCACATCGTGATTGACTTTGTCGAATGCCTTCTGGAAATCAGTATAAATTACATCGACCTGTTTATTGTTATCTAGATGGTTGAGGACATGATGAGAAAATGTTAAAAGATTTGTAGAGGTTGATTTTTTCGGAACAAATCCGTGCTGTTCTTCACAAATATTCCCTCCAAAGCCACTCCACACTTTCGCATAAATAATCTGCTCAAATAGCTTCGCAGTAGCACATAAAACTGCTATTGGCCTATAGTTTTCAATTTCTGAGACTTTGCCAGACTTATGGATAGGTGTTACTATAGCTTCTTTCCATGAGTCTGGGAATGTATTCGATTTTATTGCTAAATTATAAATATATAGAAGAGGCTGCTTTAACCAGAGTCCACATCCTTTTACAATATATGGTGGAATCTTATCACTTCCTGCAGATTTTTTCGGTTTGAGTTTTTTCAGGGCTTCAAAGTAATTACTGTCAGTTACTTCACTGATTGATAGGTAACTTTCAATATTATTATTATCCAAGTTAGGATTGTAAGATGCCTGCTCGTTGCTGTAGACTGACTGAAAATATTTGCCAAAGGAACGTGCAGACTCGTCATTTTTTATGGTAGTGCCCTGTAGCTTGAGTGTGGGGGACGAGTTACATGTTTTTTTATTACTTTTTGTGAAAGACCAGAAGTATTTTGGATCGGTATTAATGGCGTTCTCGATGTTTATTATGTACTCTTTATGACACTTCTCTATTAGTTTTTTCAATTTGCGTCTTTCCTCAACGAACAGGTGCATATAATGGTTGGATAGATTCTTCAACTTCCTCAGTTCATTTTTTCTTTTTAGACATTTTTTCACATCATTAGTGAACCAAACAGGAAACTTACTCTTTTTATTTTTCAATTGAGGTACTAATTCGTCGAATACTTCATATATCTTATTGTAAAAAAAATCAACGGCGTCATTGACATTTTCTATTTCGAACATTTCATTCCAGTCAATATCTCTGATTCTATATGAGAGCTGTAAGAAGTCGCATCTTTTGAAATTATAAAAAGATTCTGTTTCAAAATAGGTTTTGTCTCCGCAACCCTTACTATTTTCTATTTCTATATCAATTATCAATGCAGGATGGTTAACATCCTCTTCTATCAGAGAAAATTCAGATTTAGATACTTTCAGTACATCGCAGTTTTCGGACGCTGTTAACACCAAATCCAGTTTTCGATTATTAATATTAAGAACTTCATTTATCTGTTCTAAAGCGTGTAGGTCTATAAAGTCCAAAAAAGTCGTGTGCCTGTCATCCAAGCCTATTCGGGACACCCCTGCTTCACAAGTGTCGTATACTATTGCGAGATTAACAATATAACAAATACCAGTCAGGCGAACTCGACAGACCCAGTCAGCACAGCCTTCCATCGTAAACCTTGATAAATGTCGAACAACACTCCACCAAAACTCCTTCATCTATTGAACGGCAAAGCTTTGGAATTCTCTGCCAATGCAAGTATTCAGAAGAACTTATAACCTCTAAATGTTCAGAAAAATTCCAACACTCATGTCCTCTTCCTGTCCACCCTAGTAACTGATGTTTGGGGACACCCATTGTAGTAGTTTCAACTTGTGAGCTGAAGACTTGTTGTATTATTAATTTTGAATAATTTAATAGGTTTATGCGTTGTGCACTAATGCTGGACAGAGGTCTGCAGAGGATTTCCTGCAGAGGACTTTGATGGCCGCTTTTTTGCTCAGATGTTTACAGAAATGCGGGTACTTTGGATGCAAAAATGGATATGACGGTGAGTATGAGGCTTTTTTTAGACTTTCTAATCTGAATATTGTTGCTTGAATTCAGCCATTTTACTCGGTCTACTTTTTTGAAATGGAACTTTCTTATTCGTATTCAGACTTTCCTTTCTGAATTCAGAAATTTTTCCTGAATACGGAGTTTATTCTTCGAATTCGTTCGAATTTAGACTTTGCTATTCGAGTTCGAATTTATTTGAATATATACTTCTTTATTTGAATTCAAACTTTCTACTCTGAATTCGAACTTTTTCTCTAAATTCAGATCATTTTCTATGGATTCGGATTCTCAATTGCACATACATATTTTCATCTGAAGGAGAATGCAAATTCTCAACTCAACTTTAGAAGATTTTGTGAATTCTTATCGTATGTGTTCAATAGATGTAATTCAATGTTCGTCGTAACATATAGCCAGGAATTTAGTTGTTTTCTGTTGAATAAACCGAGGAAGAATTGATATTTTCTTCACATAGAGAATGCGAATTCTCAATTAATGAATTTCTTCATATATATATCTCCAATTTTTTTATGTTTGTAATTTTCTCTGAGAATATCCCTTCCATAACATACTGAGGATGTTCTGAATGTTCATAGAATGTTTTACGAGACTGTTCATAGAACATTTCATCCAAATATCCTAGGAGCGTTCCTACACTATTCCATTATCCTATGAATGTTAGGCAGATAATGATATGATCATAGAATGTTCTGTTCGGATATTCTAGGCATGTTCTCCAGGTATGTTCATAGCATTTATTATTTAGATAGTCTGAGAAAGAAAATAATTTTTGTTTCCCATGAACATATATGTCCTATAACTTGCTTCGTTTTTTATATACAGCAGAGGAAGTGAAATTTTTCAGAAAAAAATCATTTCTCATTCATTATATTCAAGAATTTTTTCGCTGATTTCGATAAAACTTGTAACGCTCATCTGCGGTGGCAATGGGGTTTAGTGAATTCAAATTTACCGCTATCTCTCCAATTACTTTCTTCTTGCCCTACCCAGGTTATAACTCCGAATTTTGAAGTTTTTATTTTTTCTTCCAGGGCTTATATTTTCCTCTTATATCAATCCCTGAAATATTTTCCATGCGGTTTGAAACACCCTGTATACTGAGAATATTCCAAGATCATTCTGAGGATGTTCTATACAGGGTGTATCTAAATAACATCGAAAAAATTCAAGGGGCGATTCTTTGTAATATTCTAGCAAATTAGGTTCATATAAACGTTTTTTAAATACAGGAAGTTGAAGTTGGAAGTATTAATTGTTTTTATTTTTAACCGCCCTGTATACGCTTCCATGGTGCCAAAATTCAGTATGGTTGGAGACTGAGAAACCCCCAAAATTTCAAAATGATTCTAATTGGGGTTATTGAGAAATCTTAATGGAAGTCTTGAAAACACGCCTACATTAAAATTTGGAGTCAAATCGAATTTTTATAGCTTCCACAAAAATTGAGATAGATAAAAAAATAACACAGAGGATAAAAAATTTGTTATTTCAATAGTTCGATCTAATAAAAATATGAAATTCAGAAAAACCGGTGGTGTACAATGACATTCACCATAAATATTGATAAATTTACCCACTGTGACGCCACTGGAAATATTATTTCGAATCTGATTGCACCAGAAGAAGCCTCATATTACTATTAACACAACCACACCGTTTTATTGAAATTGATGAGAGGACAACTGAGTTATGAATGAAAAAACGATTTTTCATGGAAATATCAATACCCTGTATCTCAAAAACGGAGCAAGTTAGGACACATGTTTATATGAACTTTATTTCCCAAAATATCACAAGGAATCACCCATTGAATTTGCTTGGTGTTATTTAGATACACGCTGTATATTCATGGAATGTTCTGAAAAATATTATGAGAACGTTCTTGGAACGTAAATGTTCGCCCCATTCGCATGTTCTTTGGATATTCTCGGAACGTTCAGTGCACCATGTGAGAATATTCGAAACCTGCCACGGGAATATTCTAAGAACGTTCCCAGCGAGCACAAAAACATCTCAGAGATGTTAAAAGTACGAGATTTCGAGACATTGAACCTCCACTGCGATGTTCTGTTCAGACATGAATACAACTATTATAGAACAGCCAATGTCCGCCGCAGGCGGCAATTATCGAGATGTCCTTGATATGTCACAAAACTACCTTCTCCCTAGTTCTTTTTAAAGCCTTTTCATGGACACAACAGAACATTTTCAACGCCTCTTGCGCATTTTCGAGGTACTTTTCTGAAGCCTTTTGTCAAAATGAACTTTTGCATTAGGATTCCATTTCCCTTGAACACAGACATATAATTGGAAATAGGTTTCCCAATTTTTGAAATGTTCTCCACAATGCATGATTTTGCAACTGCGGAGAAGCTGTGTATTGATGAATTCGTACTTTTATATATTGATTACACTGAGGCACCGAACAACACATCTTGCATCTGATGGTCATTATTACAAACTAAATAAGTCTTCTAACACAATAAACTTCACCAAATTCCTTTCTGTTCGTTAGCAGCGTGATGTAAGCGTTACACGCTGCAAACGCGAATGCCAATTGCGAACAAGGAGAACAAAATCGAAAACAAATCAGAATTCATCGTATTGTGACGTAAGCATGAGACGTTGTGGTGGGGCAAACAAAGAAAGGGCACAAAAGAACAAAAACAATATTTTCAATATCCTTCTAAGACCTCTTTGGGAAGTGCATATTACGCCTGAAAAAAACATCCTCATGCCTGCATTTCTAAAACATCCCAGGGATACCTCTCAATAGGCAAACAAAGAAATGCCACAGAAGAACAAAAACAATACTTCAATATCCTTCAAAGACCTCTTTGGTCATTGCATATTACATCTCAAAATAACATCTTCATGCCAACATTTTCAAAACATCCCAAAACATCCCAGGGATGTTTGTGCTCGCTGGGTTCTCAGGACCTCTTTGTGCTGTCTGGGTATTCCCTGGTCCCATAATCTTGGTTTCTTTTAGTAATGCCGACCGAGGAAGAATATCGCATCGGAGAATTGCTGCTACACCATCTGCAAATGTTGCAGTTCAACGCCCACGAAGTGTACGAAACCAGGGTTGCCGCAGGATCGAATTTGAAAGGATCGAAAATCGTTTACATCGGCATCGCCGTCTATCCGACGGTCAGTTTGTTCAACCACGACTGTTATCCTGCGGTGACAAGGTGGGTGATAATAATAATAATAATATATCGAAGACTGGAACCTTCGGCACGATATACCACAGTTTATGGAAATAGATATTCCAAAAACTGAGATAATACACTACACACTGTTTTACCACTAACCAAACCGATTTTTTACACCTTGACACACCTTTTGCTAACTATGTTAGCATCTTCAGGAGAAGATTAAAACTAAATGCTCTATCCTAGTGGGCTACTTATATACTAACTATATGTCCACCCAACCGTGAATGAATAATAACCGCCAAGTTGATGTTATTCATGGTTGAGTTCACATGTTATATTACTAAACTATGCAGAGGGCTAAATCGGATAGGTCCATTATCCTTATTCTTTACTTTATTACTATTCCTGAATATCTCTAAGCTTTCATATGCATCTAATTTTCTAACATCATTAACTTGCTTAACTAATTCGAGGTTCATTTTACTTGGTTCTTTGGGATTTTCTCTCCTCGTTTCTATAAAATAAAAGTATTCGTATTATTTCAATATATTTGTAGAGGGACAAATCAGATGATTTGCCCCAAAATGTCACTGCGTTTAACAAATTTTTCTATCAGGGAGTCTAAAAGAAAAATCCAGTAGCTTGTCAGTGACAATTTGTTTGAAAAAATTTTTGAAGGAAAGAAATATAGATATATTGAAAAAATATCGAATTTGTACTTATCTTTGGACGTTTCGGGACCGATTCTGCTCCCGTTCTCAACATGTAAATGCAAATTATTTTTCTTTGAAAGTTGTGCTGCGTATAGTTTGACACTTTTCAATGTCATACTGATGTTGGCATATGAATGAGTGATTTTAGTCTACAAATGAGTTACAGGATGTTTTCATTAATTGATCTTGAATCTACCATTTTCATGTTCAGTTTTCAGTAGTGAATACCATGTTCTATCAATATCAACTGAACAGGAAGCAATGCTATTGTCTCCGTTTAGAAGAATGCAAGCGGATTCCTTTATTTTAAAACGGAGACAATAGCATTGCTTCCTGTTCAGTTGATATTGATAGAACATGGTATTCACTACTGAAAACTGAACATGAAAATGGTAGATTCAAGATCAATTAATGAAAACATCCTGTAACTCATTTGTAGACTAAAATCACTCATTCATATGCCAACATCAGTATGACATTGAAAAGTGTCAAACTATACGCAGCACAACTTTCAAAGAAAAATAATTTGCATTTACATGTTGAGAACGGGAGCAGAATCGGTCCCGAAACGTCCAAAGATAAGTACAAATTCGATATTTTTTCAATATATCTATATTTCTTTCCTTCAAAAATTTTTTCAAACAAATTGTCACTGACAAGCTACTGGATTTTTCTTTTAGACTCCCTGATAGAAAAATTTGTTAAACGCAGTGACATTTTGGGGCAAATCATCTGATTTGTCCCTCTACAAATATATTGAAATAATACGAATACTTTAATTTTATAGAAACGAGGAGAGAAAATCCCAAAGAACCAAGTAAAATGAATGTACCACCTCCTCGATTAACCTACAGACAGTATTTAATTCGAGGTTATTAATATGTGTGTTTTATGATTGTTTTTTTTATGTTTTGGTTTCCACGAAAAGGGATATATCCTGTAATGTTCAGAGAACCGAGGGAAATAAGGTAGGAATTGGTGTTCTTCTCAAATTTCTGGAGGTTAGAGGTTCTAGAGCCTCGCTGATCGTTGGATGAACGAGTCTTTGGAAAGAGATGTTCTACAGGTCTCCAAAGTGACCACGAACGGGTGCGAAGCCTCAACTCGACGGATTAATCTCGCGGGGACTGCCAAGGGAGGGACAATTGTTGATATTTCAGAAGAACATCGTCCATGAATATATCTATAAAATAGGGCCAGATCGCCAGCTTTTCTACGGTATTCCAGAGAAGTGAGTGAGTTTGTGAGCGAGGCATCACCCACGAGACGAATTGCCCTTTTTTGTACAGAATCCAACAGTTTCAGGGTATGTTTGGGTGCTTCTCTCCAAATATGGAAACAGTATTCCAGGACAGGTTGGATCTGTGCCTTATAGTTTTTGGGGTGCACTTTCAGTAATTGATCTTACGTGATTTTCCCAAACAAGGTTCTTGCTGATAGTAATACCAAGCATCGAAATGGTTACTCCTGACAAGCTTATGTTGGGCACAGTGAGATCGGCTTTTCTAGAGAAATGGCATGCTTGTGTTTTGTTTGCATTGAAATCTACCAAGTTATTGGATCCCCATTCGAGAACTGTTGCCAAGTCCATATTTATGTTGTCAACATTTCTTCCTCCTCCGTTTCTGATTTGCCTGGCTGGTATTGGAGCCCTGGAAGAGGAGGCGGTATGGAGGGTACTATGATCCGCAACATGCAGTTGCTTCCAACAAATCGTTGATATGGAGTAGAAATAATGTTGGTGCTAGAATTGATCCTTGCGGAACACTAGCATTTATGATAAGAGAGTCAGACGAACCTCCGTCGACCACTACATGGAGAGACCTGTTTGAGAGAAAACTAGCTAGCAGAGAACATAGCTGGGGAGGCAAGCCATACGATGGAAGCTTGGCGAGGTGTCTGTGGTGCCAGACTCGATCGAATGCCTTGGAGATATCAATCTGAAATATATTTTTCTCAACACTTCAGAACTCACAACAGATCGCAATCCTTAGGAAGAATATTCCGTAAATAATTATAGGAATTGTTTGTATAAGAATATCTTATAGGAAACAACTCCCAAATGTTTACTAACGTTTAGAAAATACCCGCTATATAGATATATTTATATAAATATTGGGATTCTGAAGCCCTTGGGTTAGACCGCTCGTCGACTTCGAGGCCGACGACCATTTTTCGCTATTTCTGAGCTTAGCTTTTCTCATGGATATCTACATGAGAATACAGGACCCCTAATAACACACATGTCCCATGGATATCTTTGGGACGTCCTGTCGGGACATTCAGGACGTTCGGATTTGGTACCGTGGACGTCCATTGGACGTCTGTGGGACGCACAAATGTCCCACTTGTCACTTGTGGACCAACTAGGGACGTCCTTGAGGGATGTCCCTTGGACAACTATCGAATACCTAAATCCTACAGTATTCCTCAACAAGCACTACAGTGGACATCCTTAGGACATCCATAGGACAACCTATCAGCAGCGCTGAGGGATATCAATTGGATGTCCATAGGATGTCCCAGGGACGTACGAATTATTCTTGAATTTGATTTTTTTCTGGGTCCTTCTAGGACCAGATCTTGCATAACTGATTAGGGCATCCAGTTGAGTTGATGGACCGTAGAAGGTCCCCAAAAAGTTTCCCAAAAGGATGTCCAATGGACTTACGTGAAGGACATTGACGAGGAGTACTTATAGCCTATGAGCAATCATTCGTCGGCGAGGTGTAAGTTAACGTCCTCGCAGGGACAACATATCGAAAGTACCGACTGGGACGTCCAAAGGACGTTATTTCTAGGACATGGGAAGAGTACAGCTCATATCTTAGGGATATCCGTCGGATGTCCCATAGGGACATTTCGATTGTTATACGATCCTGGAAATATTAAGGGCCTCTGTGCAGAGATATTTGAAGGAATGTACCATCAGGGACATTTCATGGTTGTCTAGGAGGGACATTATATAAGATCTGAAGTCATGCCAGAATATGTACTACTCGGGACATCCGATGGATGTCCCTGAAGGAACGTTTAAAATCATATCCCATCAGGGACATGCCAAGGTCGTCCTTGCATGGACATTCTACAATACCTATGTACCACGTGGGACGTCTAAGGGATGCTATTTCTAGGACATTTGAAATAATGTACCAGCTGGAACAATCCGTGGACGTCCTTGCTCGGAAATTGCATGAGATGTACGGGATCCCAGGCAACCAGTTGACGTTCCATTGACGTCTTTTTCACGTCACTTGAATGACCAAGGTGACGTCAGTAGTTGACGTCGGATTGACGTGATAATGACGTGAATAAGTCACAGCCCAATGACGTCATATTACTGACGTCGTATTGACGTCATTCACTCACCAAACTGTGACGTCCGACTGACGTCAAAATGACGACTGAATTTGGCGATGATACGTAAAAAAGATTCCTTCAACATGGTGTGATAAACACCACTAGCCTCTGATGACATTATATAATATTGATTATGCATTGTTGAGTCGCTTCGGAGGCCCCTCTAGTGTCATGTTCATTCAATCGCCTATTCAGCAGCGCCATCCTTCAGTACGCATCTCCATCAGAATGCAATCAGTTACTCGTATTTGTATCAAATATTATGTAGTTTGTGTCGGCGAGATGTAAGCAAACAAAGAATAGTTTGATAGCAATGGAAAGGATGTTGGCGAATTTGGCTTCACTTTGTTGAATAATGTATATTGATGCATTCTTTGTCACTCAACAAAAATCTAAATAGTAAATTATTGAAAAATTTACTAAATGACGAAGCTCACCAAATTGGTACGTCACACCGACGTGATTTTTAGACGTCATAGATACGTCACTGCCACGCCATAATAATAATGGTTTCAATATAGGTATACCTAGACAATTATTTTTATATATACATAGCTTTCCAGAAAAAAGTTTTTCTACTACTTTTCGGGTATATTATTAATTAGAATAAAACTTGCATGTTGATTTGCTTTCATGAGTTATACTTCTGTTTCACATGAGAATATATAAGTATCCATGGTTTAGAGAAGGTCTGGAAAAAATGGACGTCGACAGGACGTCCCTGCAACGTCATGAAACTGATGTCTTCTTTTACCCATCTAAGTGACGTTCACTCGACGTTGAAACGATGACGTGATTATCACGTCATAGAAAGTACGTCATAGTGATGTCATAAATTGGTGTGTGACGTCTCTGACGAAAAATCACCGATTAGGGACGTCACAGTGACGTGATCATTCGTCATCTGGTTGCCTGGAATGGGACGTCCCAAGGACACTTATTTTTGGTTCGGGACATTCGGACGTGAATTGTACCAAATAGAGACGTCCCTAGGACGTTGTGTGCTATTAGGGGGGTGAAATGAGGCACTGAGGCAGTTCTCTACAAGCTCATATTTACTATTGTTGCAGGCACTTCTCGGGCAAAACGATCGTGATAAAGGCGTCGCGACCGGCGCGTCGCGGCGACCCCATCGCCGAGAACTACGGCCCGACGTTCACGAGGCGGTCCAAGCGCGACCGCCAGAGGGCGCTGCGCTCGCGGTATTGGTTCGACTGCTGGTGCGCAGCTTGCCTGCAAGATTGGCCTACAATCGAACACGGATTGGACGACGCCACCAGAAGGGTCAGGTGGGTTATTGTTTATTGAAAAACTAGCTACCAGTCAGAAATTAAATTCTGGAGGGAGTTGATTACAAAAAACAATAGTAAAATAATATGAGGTGACAACAACAACAAGAAAAATCTGAAAAATCTAAAAATGCTAAATCGATCAAGTCATAGAAATAGCCACAGGGACTAATCAGTAGCTGGCAACGTATCAATTTTATCCATTTCGTAATGAAATCATGTGTTTTTTCAATTCAATTTTGAATTTTGAAATATGTCTGCAATTCTTTATATATTATGTGGTAATTTATTAAATTCAGCTAGAGCAGCGCCGTGAGTGAATTTTTTTTGGCCAATGATAGAAGTAGCAGAATCAAGATGAAATAAGTTTAATTGTCTCGTGTGATGACCATGAATTTCTGAGTTTCTTATCGAAACAAAATTGGATTTCGGATTATTGTTTACTATATTATATGAAACTTCAAGAGAATCTATTTTATATGAAAATTTTTCTGTTATCGCATACAGATCATTTGTTGCGATATCAAATGAGAGGCGATACAATACATCTTATAATGTGCAGATTTTTTACTGAAATACTTTTTTGAACAAGATCCCCAAACGTTTATCATATAGGTAATACGACTGAGTACATGAGAATGAAGTACTATGTTTATGACTTTTTTGTCAAGTTTAGGACATCTTCGGTCGCAAAGCTCCAATGATTGGAGATATTTTTTATATCAGAACCTGTATATGCTTGTCCCATTTCAATTTTTCATCAATCCACATATCAAGATACTTTATTTGTGTATAGTTCTTTTCAATAATTTATTTGTAATTTGGAGATTGAGACTAATATTCTGTTTATTTTTTTTGATGGAATATTATATATTCAGTTTTATTGGTGTTAATTGATAAAATGTTTGAATAAAGCCATTTTTCAAATTTTTTCAAATCCTCGTTAATAATATTATCTAGAATGATAGGGTTTTTGTTTTCGTATAAAAATACAGTACCATCTGCATATACAGTGTATCCCACTTACCATGCTCACCATGGGTATCTTTTTAACGGTGAGAGATACGAGGTCGGTCAAATGACACCAAATATGGAGTTTGTCAAGGCCAACTATAATGTGAAAAAATATTTTGTTAAAATCTATTCGTTTTTGTTTTATACGCAAAAAACAGATTTTGATCATTTTCATGTCCCCTCCATAACTTCTTTATTTACGAAAATATTCAAATAGGAATTTCACATTCTCATGGCAGTTTTTCAAAGTGATTTCGAAAAAAATATGAAATTTTTATCAACTCTTCTAGAATTTGAGATATCAGCACCAACTTTAGTTTTTCAAATGTAGGTCATAGCTCACTATGATTTAGTTACAAATAACTTCTTTTCCTCTTACAGTGCTGATGAGATTCTAAGAGATTTTTAACAATGCCTCTGAGTCCCATCGATTCCAAGTATTCTAAGAGATTCTTATGATAAACTGTATCAAATGCCTTTTTAAGGTCAATGAAAATAGCTACAACGTAATTTCCCGTATCAAGTCCTTCTTGAATTCTTTGTACTAATTGTAGTACTGCTGCTTGTGTACCACTATTTTCTTGGAATCCGAACTGATTATTATCAGAACTATATTTTTTGTTTATGAAATTTACTATACGCTTCTTCAAAATTTTTTCAAATATTTTCGAAAATATGCTCAATATAGCTATTTGTCTGTAATTTTCTGGATCTTCAGCTTCCCCACTTTTGAATATTGGTCTTAGTGAAGCATGTTTCAATTCATATGGAAAAATACCTAATACAAAATAATTATTGATTAATTTTGTCAAGGGTTCAGCCAGAATAGTTTTTAATTCAAATATATCTTTTGTTGATAAACCTTCAGAGTCAGGACATGTTTTCTTCAGAGTATGAATTATTTCAATAACTTCATTTTCATCAGTTGGAAACAGAATCATTGTAGAATCATTGGGTGATTATTATATGTTTCAAAATTATTTATGTGATAGGAAACAATTCGTATATTTAAAAGAAAGGTATAGGGGATTACAAGAGAACGTTATGAGGTATCCTATATAAGGATTTCAAAAATGATATAATATACGGGGTGGGGTGTACAATTTGAAATAACAGAGTAGCTACTACCCTTGATTATATTCACTCTCCGCTCTGCTCCACTCGTGCTTAAAATACTCGTTACTAAAAGGACGTTTACACCACTTGTTACATAATATACTATATTATGTATCATAGTGCAATAAAGATTGTTATTGTTATTATTGCACATGATGTTCATTTTGTATTTTTTCTGCAGGTGTACGAGTCCTGGTTGTTCTTATCTTCTAACGATTCCAGTATCGAAAGACACAGTGAGGTGCCCTAGATGCGAGAAGGATGTTTGCTTGAAAGAAAACATCGACCTTTTGAGATGGTGCGAGGAACAATACGAAAAGGGTTTCCGTCAGATGGACTCGAAACAATACGAAAAAGCCATCGATACTTGTTGCAAAGCGATCGATGTCTTTCACAGGTAAAGTTCCGAAACATACATGGAAATTCCGACTTATTAAGTCGTAATAGGCGGTAAAAAAAAAAAAAATAGGCGAGTGGACGGATTTTTTTTTATTTCTCAAATAGAATCTTCACTCAAATACCTTTCAATTTAATATTTTCCAAGAATTCTTCGGTCGATTTTTAGGTGCTAAAATCATCAAAAATGCCATGGTAATTTTCAAACGGCTATAGAAATTTACCGCCACTGAAAATTGACGGCACGATTTCTGAAGTAGGGGCAGACCTATTCAATAATTCATTAATCATCAATTGATCAATAAAAATTCAATTGTCTCAGAATGTTCCTTTATGATTTGTGGCTTATTATTGCTTGTAATGAATTTGTGTAAATAATAATTATATTAATTTTATATCCTGATTATAATGAAAAAATAGTACACTATACACCTACGGAATAAAGTGTTATTTTGAATCCCCAGACAAAAAGTTTATAGCCCGACCAACGGGAGGGCTATAATTTGTCGAGGGATTCAAAAACACTTTAGTCCCGAGGTGTATATTATACTATTTTATGCACTAAAGGATAGGTAAAACTTTAAAAATAACGAAAATGATTCAAATTTTACTAAACGGTAGGTAATCTATTTCTGTTTCTATTTTTATTTCTAAAATGTCATCGAAGGGACTGATTGTTAGGTACCATATATCAACAGTAGCGGCTCCTCAGAGGAGGCAACGGAGGCTGAGCCTCCTCAGAGATTTTCCTTGAACTGATATTATCCATACTTTCTCATTAAAAGGACACCAAAATACATGGATTTTGATTTCATTTCCTGTTTTTAGGTAAATATTTTTGAATTGGCAACAGTGCTTGCCCACGCATCACACATTGAAGTCTGCAAATCACGCGTAAAATATTCAACTAGGCAACATCTATAGGAGACTAGACTCCTTCACAATTCGCAACCCTCGCGCGCAATGCAAATGTCCGAATACGCCCGAATGGCACGTGTTTGTCGTGTCGCGTCGCGAATTGCGGACAATCCAGCGCGAGTGCATTGTTTATGTTTATGTTAGGTTAATCGTTAGGGGCTCTATAAACTTTTGAAAAATTGAAACGATTGCGATTTAGTGGAATACTTTTTGTTGAACACATTCAGTGCTTTGTCTCATGAAGATAAATTGATTAAGAAAAACAGACGTCCGACACCGGAATTAAAAAATCTGATTGTAACAGGGAACAAACAAAATCGTTCGTTCAATTCTGATAATTATAAAAAATATATCTGGTTGACGGGATCTGAGGTAAGGAATAAGCTATTTTGTTGGTACTGCGTATTATTTTCAACCGATAAGTCATCATGTTGGGGGCGATTAGGATATAATGATTTGAAAAAGTTTGCCTCGCGGATTGGATAGACACTGAAAATCACAGGAACACATCTCTTCAAGTATTAAGTTCAGGTTAAGTGGTAAACAGAATGTAATTAAAGCTATTGATTTGGGTGAGTAGAGAGTTGTTTTTCACAATAAATCTCATATCATTCAGCCTCCTCTGTCATGAAAGTCACGAGCCGCCACTGTATATCAACTACCTCAGTAACTATGGTGATTCAGATTTCGGGGAAGAAAGTGGTACTTCAAATCCCTAGGGAATAGGGATTAAAGGTACCCTATAAATCCCTGAAGTGCATAAAAATCATTAAATTATGCTATGTCATACGACGCGTCTGAACTGCCATCCTTGAAAAACTTTTTTTTCACGAACATTCGCCTAATTTAAAGTTGCAACAATTAGAATTAGAGTCTCACAGTCTCAGTTCTCACAATTTCCCACCAGACTACTAAACATAGGCTTTCATTTTTCGATAGCACGCGATGCGCTGAGACTGTGAGACTCTAAATGTAAATTAGGAGATATGTTAGAAAAAAAGGTTCTCTTGATCTAATCTACAGTTGCAACTGTAAATTAGGGCTAATTCACAATTGCAACTGTAAATTTGTGCTAATTTACAGTTGCAACTGTAAATTAGGAGGTGTTTTGAAAAAAGTTTTCTCTGACCAATTTACAGTTGCAACTTAGGCGATATTTAGAAAAAAAAAGTTTCCTCTGCCTAATTTACAGTTGCAACTGTAAATTAGGAGGTTTTTGGAAAAAGTTTTCTCTGACCAATTTGCAGTTGCAACTTAGGCGATATTTAGAAGAAGAAAAGTTTCCTCTGCCTAATTCACAGTGCAACTGTAAATTAGTGCTGATTCAAAGTTGCTCAGACGCGTCGTAATAATGTCATCATCAGTGTGTGCGTATATTTTCAATTCAATTCGACGTTTTGAAGTGAGTCAAAATCACGTTCTAAGATTCCATACATACCAAGCTAATAAAAGCGTGGTGAAGATATGACGGTTCACCTAATGTTGTGATTTGTTTTTTTTTGCAGAGTATCAGCTCCGCCACATAAAGGCACTCATCTAGCACAAGAAACATTACAGTTATGTGTCGCATCATATGGAAATGTTGCAGAAACATTAGTAAAAAAAAGCTGAAATTGAAATATGCTATATGGATAATTGTCAAAACGAAAAACATTATACAGTGTGGAGACTTTAACTGGAATAAATTCGTTAGCGGGGAGGTGAATATTTTTTCTAGCAATATTGTGGATATATTCCAGCAGGGGTAGCTAAAACCAACCTCAACATGATTTTTTTAATTGTAAATTTCGTTTTTTTTGCCGTATTCACAGTTTGAAACGAAGTGTTGCTGCAAACTGGTGGAAATGCCATATCACTGTCACTAAAAGTCGACATTTTTATGAAAATACGTTAAAAATATATTGAACTTCGAGATAATATTTTGATTTTATGCGACCACCAAACGTACTGAAATATGATCAGTACGATGGATTCCTCTTCCAACCAGCTTTCCAATCAGAGGTCGCAAGCCCTAGCGTTGCATTTGAAAAAAACATGTGTTGGGGTTGATTCCAGCTACCCCTGATGGGTTATATTTTCCATATTGCTCGCCAAAAGTAGGTGAATACATTCAAATTCAGAAAAATCATTCACTCCCCCAGTAGCGAAGTTATTCCAGTTGAAGTCTTCAACCTGTATTATGTTCTACGCAAATGTGGATATGACATAGATTTTCTGAAATAAACACCTTTTTCATATATGAACTCTATAGTTTTATTTTAAACATACAATAGGACGATTTGGGTGGCAGACCCTCTAACCCCGTAAGAGGGTGTGTAACCAAACCTGTAAATATTTTTTCAATTGGGAATGAGGGTCAAGTTTTCAAGTTATAACACATTCAAAGGGCCTTTAATCGTAAATGCCCCCATACATCAAGGACGTCGATATCGCTGGCAGGGGGGGGGGAATTACCACCCCCCCCCCTAGAATAATAATTTGTAAGATAGGTAATATAGGTATAATGGATATGTGTGCCCAAGATGAGGATGATAAACATGGGGATCTCCGTTTAGGTCAAATGGATCAAAAAGTAGCGCAATTCTTATATAGATGTTCAGAAATCCCGAAAATGTTGGCAACTTCCGGAGAAATTCGAAGGAAACCGAATTTGGCGATTTGGTTTTTATTTTTTGTTTTTGGGTGTATGATGAATTGAAGAGTCGCGAAAACACCAAAGGCACTTTCTCATTGCCATTTTTTCACCTGAAATGGCGTTACGTTTATTGAGATCCACATGTTCCTCATCCTTATTATCTTAGGCACATTGTATAGACGTTTATGGCTGTTTCATTCGTAATTTGTCTCATTTTTAATTCTACTACGTATACAGGTTGTCCCGAAATTAGCCAGCCGAAACCAGAAATAGGAAGAAAAAATCCAATGAGCATGAGTCGAAAAATGTCCAAGGGAGCTTCGGCCCCCTGACAGGGGCTCCTGAAGATGATATTTCTTGAATATTTCCGAAACGCTACGTGATAAAATAATGCAATTTGATACAGGAACTAAACTTTCCATACCAAATGCGGTGAACATAAAATTAGTCCAAAGTACTACATTAAATATTGTTCAAACTTTTGCATATGTACAGGGTGTCCCTAGACCAGTGGGACAGTTGGATATCTCCTGAACCAATAGGAATTTTCGAAATATTATAATTCCACATCATATCGCATTATGAGTGCTAACTTCAGGAATGACTATATTTTCTACGAGGGGCACAAGAAAGGCTCACAAAATCGAACATCAATTTTTTCAAATGGAACACCCTGTATTTTATTGCATTTTCATAATCTACTTGAAGAGCTGAATTCAACGACCTAGCACACTTGGGCTCTAGCGGGAATGATTTCCGAGATATAGGGTGTGAAAAATCGAGATTTTTCATTTTTGGGAATTTTTTGTGTCAAAACTATTCATTTCTGGTCAAAACGGCTTACATGTCCATATCTTAACTTTCGATTTACCATTTACTCGTATTTAATTGAAACAAATACAGGGTGGTGTCGAATTCCGACTGAAACTGAGAATTCTACACCACCCTGTATTTGTTTAATTTAAATACGAGTGAATAGTGAATCAAAAGTTAAGTTATGGACATGTAAGCCATTTTGACCAATAATGAATAGTTTTGACACAAAAAAATCCCGAAAATGAAAAATCTCGATTTTCCACACCCTATATCTCGGAAATCATTCCCGCTAGACCCCAAGTGTGCTAGGTCGTTGAATTCAGATCTTCAAGAAGAATATGAAAATGCAATGAAATACAGGGTGTTCCATTTGAAAAAATTGATGTTCGATTTTGTGAGCCTTCCTTGCGCCCCTCGTATAAAATATAGTCATTCCTGAAGATAGCACTCATGATGCGATATGTTGTGGAATTATAATATTTTGAAAATTCCTATTGGTGCAGAAGATATTTAACTGTCCCACTGGTCTAGGGACACCCTGTATATGCATATTTGGAGGATTCATAAAGTTCGAAACAATTTTTGTAGAAATATACTTAACTTACGAAAATATAAAATATGGTCACGTGTCTTAGAACATTGCAAAATTACTTGGTGACACAGTATCAATTTGCCTGAGGATATTTCGCCCCTGTCCAAAGTTAATATCCGATGGACCAGTGTGTGTTGTGTTTTACACTAGTCCATCGGATATAATCTTTCGATAGGGGCGATAAAGGCCAAATATTCTGAAAATTATGAATGCTCTGCCACTAACTTAGATCAGTTTGAATCGCAGCACGTTTGGATATTCGCGATGAAACATTATCCTCTTTTGTGCTTTTTAATTCAACATCGTTATCACATGACGGAAGTATGTCCGGAATAATGGCACTGATAAATCGCTGTGCCGTGGATTCATTTTAAATAGCGGAATCAACTGCACAAGAAAGTGCCATTTTTCAATCATTCTGCACAGGATAGTGATTGGCACAGGTGCCGTTCCATAAAATTCAATGTTTTTAGATGCCTCTGGGACACATATCTTTCCATTATTAGATGGAGTTCAAAATTTGCAGCCGGCTCTTGGGCTATAATTAAAAAAAATGTTCAGGAAGATCACTTACGAACAATTTGTATATGCAACCATTTCTTTTTAAACAAGCTTTTCAGTTTTATGTATACCTCCGACAATTCTATATCAACCGTTCTCATCCAACTGTTCAGTTGTGAAAATTGGCATCCGGAGATTTCCAAGAGATTTCCGGATAGCAATCATAAATGCTTTTATCGGATCAAATGATATCACGCATGAATTATTTCAAGAAACTTCATCAGAGAAGATAAACATTCAACTTTGTATGCCATTTATACTCGCATTTATATATATCTATACAGTGTGTCCATTTAGTGCGTAATTCTTCGATATCTCGAAATCAATTATCACAAGAGAAAAACTTTGGAGAAAAAACTTCTTCAGTTACTAAAGTTGCTCATTTCGAAAATATTTCCAACAATACTGGGTGTTTTATAAAAGCGGGGCAACTCGAAGACGAGTTTTTTCAAATGGAACACCCAGTATTGTTCATTCGAAATTCATTCCGGTTGAGTTCAGCTCTACATCGCTGTAAAAAAATTTGAATTCGGTTGCGGCGTTGCCAAGTTATAATTAATAAACCCATTTTTACTACTATTGGAGTGTCATGTTCAATTGGGTATGGTATATTTATATTTATTGAAATTTCGAAAATATTTTTGGCATACAGTAGTAGCAAGGTGTCACGTATACCAATCCAGTAATCTTGCGAGATAATCCTCTACAGGGTGCTAAAATTTACATTCTGAATATTGGAAGATTCAGACGACGATCATAAGAATTTTTCAAATAGAACACCCTGTATTTTTCATCACAGATTCATTTCGACATCATTCGCCTTTTCATCGCAGAAGAAAAAATCAAAATCGGTTGCGGCGTTTCAAGCGATAAAAAAAAATCGTCCAAATTTGAAACATTTCGTAATCTTGTTACTTATATAATATGATTCAAATAATATGTGAAACAAACCAACATGCCGAAAGCAACGCCTGTCTTTGAAACAACTCCTACAATACAAACAATGAGGATGCGGATTGCGAAAATTAGGACAATTTTTTGAGATTTGGGCCATTTTTTATTGTCGTTATTCCCACAATCCAAATCTCCATTTAACTTGATGAAGGTAAACATAATGATACAAACAATGTGTCTCTTCTAAGAGGCTTTTGGGAGGGAATTCAGCAAAATGTCGAATCAATTCAAGATATATTTGATTGTGGCGATGTTTGACAGGTCATTACACAAATATTTCGAAAAAAATTCAAACTTGAAGAGCCTGTAAATGTTTCTTTTGTAAAAAAATATATGAATGGTCAATGAACAGATTTGATTATACCGTAGCAACGCAATATTTCCACAATACAATTAAATGAAAGAACTATGACGTACAAATTACCTCGAAATAGTAGTAAAAATAAGGTAATTAACCATAACTTGACAACGCCGCAACCGATTCCAATTTTTTTTCCAGCGATAAAAAGGCGAAAGATGTCGGAATGAATTTCTGAATGAAAATACAGGGTGTTCCATTTGAAAAATTCTGATGAATGTCATCTGAATCTTGCAAAATTCTGAATGCAAAATTGAGCATCCTGTTGAAGAACATGTCGTAAAATTACTAGATTGGTATACGTGGGACCTTGCTTCTACCGTATGCCAAAAATATTTTCAAAATTTGAATAAATGAATATACCATGCCCAATTCAACATGACTCTTCAATAATGGTAAAAATAGATTTATCAATTATAACTTGGCAACGCCGCAACCGATTTCAATTTTTTTTTACAGCGATGTGAAGGTGAACCTTGGCGGAATCAATTCCGAATGAACAATACTGGGTGTTCCATTTAAAAAAACTCTTCTTCGAGTGCCCCTGCTTTTATGAAACACCCAGTAATGTTGAAAATAATTTTGAAATGAGCAATTTTAGTAACTGAAGAACTTTTTTCTCCAAAGTTTTTCTCTATAGGTTATGGCTTGCGAGATATCGAAGAATTACGCACTAAATGGACACACTGTATTAT